CAATAAACAAAAGGGGCCCTTCATATTCACATATATCCATTCTTTTAATACATTTCTTTGAGCAATGACATACAGATATACTGATTTCTTAGTTTTAAATTTTTCTTCATTAATTAAATGACCTGTCTCTTTCAATGATCTCTTTCTTTTGTTTTGATGGGAATAACTTTTAAGTATGGGAAAATGCAAGGTTTTGTAATGCCTTTTACTTGCTTGTTGCAGTGCAATTCAGTGCATTGAGCCTCAAGACATATTCAGAACAATTTGATAATCAATAAATATTACAGACTGTGTAAGGCAAGTTTCTAAAATGATGTATGTTTTTGACTTTTATCTTCAGTAACATTTACAAAAGAAGACATGTTTGCATCCATTATTGTAAAAGTCATGTAATTCATTTTTGGTAATATTTCTTAATATGGTATTTAAGAGACTGTAGTTATTTTTTATCCAGGCTTTATATTTTTGATAGACCTTTATGTATGTATTACACTTCATCTATATCACAAGTTTAAAGTGCTTTGTAATTTAAACAGCTAAACATCATCAAAACCCAAATATACTACCCACAAAAAAACAAAACACCGGAATGGCAACTTTACAGGACAACCTTGGTATAATCAGATACACATCAATTGATAAGAAGAGTAAAATTCTGTTAGTAACATTATCAGGGAGTAAAACAACAGTATGGAGTTCAAGATCATTTTCACCAACCTCAACTCCATGCAGAAAATCCCACACCTCATTTCATGCATATATAAATATATCCCATTACTTTAGAACCATAAGCTTTGACACCCCACTCCCTCTGTAGAGAATCACTTACACCTGGTTTATGCGGGAAGCCATTCTGTCAAAGAGCAAAAAAAAAGATGTCAAAGGGCATAACTCAGTGTTTCATTATCCTTTTCCCTTTCATTATCTGTGAAAGAATGCTGACATTCTTTTCTTCTCATGCTCTGTTGTTTATCTTATAATATGCAAGGTGTATTTTTCTTGTAATCTGCTGGCTGCACTCCATCTTAATTTTGATAATTCATTATACTGGCTTTCTCTCTAAATAGTAGAAAGAATTGGCCCTACCCATTGCGATATAACTGCCAAGCATCTGCAGCAGAGATTAAACCAGGTGATTTCTTAATCATTCTAGCTGTGCATATTTTTTTCTTTAAATTCAGATAATCCATACTTCCTCTGATCAATTCCTATCAGGTTCTCAGTATTTAGCCAAAAGTGACAGCTGTCTATGAAGTAGCATTTGCGAGGCTATACGAGTACCTTATCACAAATTTAAAGAAAGGTATATAAAAACAGAATAAAACTTCTGCAGTTATTGAACTTGTAATTGAAAGGTCCACGGAAGAACTAAGAGCCCTTCACATCGAGCAGTATGCTTTAGTGATATAGCCTAAGAGGCCATTTCATGCAATTTATGCCACAGGGGGGGGGTTACTCCCTTTCATAAGTTTCATGTCCATTTCTTGCTATTAATTAATTAAGTCAAGTTAGTCATTTGGCAGTGTCCACCTCGAGGCTCCACTTAGGTGACTCTCTTATGTAAAAGCCAGACCATTAATTTATGTTCCAATTTATTTAAGTGCACAGGTAGAGACTGAATGGTTTAAGCATACTGCTTGATGCGAAAAGGGCTTAAAATAGGGTACAGTGCTCTGTTATAGATAATCAGATATAGATGGCAAATAAGGGAATGAAAAAAAAACAAAAAACCAAAAAAAAAAAAAAAAAAACAATCAATATCCATAGGGAAAGTAGGAGAAAATTGTTGAAGAAAGTAAAGAAAATTGACTTCATAAGCAATTTCAAAAGATATTCTTATCTGACATATGGTCTCTCTGATATCCCCACCCCCACATCCCCACCCCTGAAAAAATCAATTGAACACCAAATATCCTAATTACTAAAGGGCTACAAGTACCAGTTTTGGTGCACTAATCATCTACTTGATTTTTTAAACATGGTTTCCATACCTGTACGTCAGATATGCCAGTCTTTTCATCAATGGCACTGAAAAGAAAAGAATAATAATAATTAATTAAATGCAACACAAATTATAACCATTTATACAGGTAAAGAAATTATTTGACTACTGATATCTAGATTTAGTTATCTGTTATATCATAAATATTCTCATTACTCGTCAAATCTTCTTTCTTATTGCTTTGCTTTATTTTTAATGGAGGTTTTCAGTAGATTCTGTTTTTACTAGATTAAAAGTTGCTTTAGCTTCATGATTTATTTTGTTAAAAATCAAATTCAACCCAGTCCAATCACATGCAAAACACTAAAGAGAAACACGATGGTAATACTTCCATAATTGCAAAGCTTCCTATAGTCTTAAAATAACCTAAACTTCATCCCAGTTAAAACATGTACCATAGTCTTATACCCAAAAGCACTGCCAGAAAACGACACACTATTTATAAAGTATACTGTACACCTTGTCATCAATATGAAGATTTACCAGACACTCCTTGTTATTCCCAGACAACTTAAAATATACCTTTAAAAATGGTTTTATCCCCTCTAGAAAAAAGGTAATATCTTTTACAGGATACCATTAATGTATATGAATTATATATTACAAGAAGAGATACTTGTTGTTTATCAAATGTTGGGGTAAACATTGTTATTAATGCACTCTTGGTATACGGATATAGATAAAATACCACAAACACAATATTTAATTAATCAATTAAGTAGGAAAAATGAGTCTAAGGATATAGATAAAATACCACAGTCACAATATTAAATTAATCAATTAAGTAGGAAAAATGAGTCCAATCTAGCATTACTCTTTTAACCATTTTAAGTTTTTTTTTTTGACCACCTACCATATTTGTAAAAAGTAACAAATATACCATTATAACAAGAAAATAAGCTGAATTTCTTATCCAAAATTTCAGCCATTGGCTAATATGTTACAAGCTAAAATGACCCAAAAATATATCAAATCTATTAGTGCCCCTAGGGATTCCATATATTTGATATAATCTGCACCAGTGTCCAGTATAACCCTATTTATAGCTGGTAAAACAATCACCCTGAAGTGTTGGGAGTTACAGGACAGGGAGGGTAGCCTGGATACCCTGTTGATCCTGGATAGTCCGGTCCTACGGCAGGATACCCTGGGTATATAGGACCCCCTGCTGGGTACCCTGAGTATGGTGGGCCTGCTGCAGGATACCCTGGGCCTGCTGGGGGATACCCTGGCCCTGCTGGAGGATACCCTGGCCCTGCTGTAGGATATCCTGGGCCTGGTGGGGGATATCCAGAGTTTGTAGGTCCGACTGCAGGATACCCAGGGTAAACAGGTCCAGCTGCAGGATATCCTGGTTGAAGATTGGGGCCTGGAGTTCCTGAACTCCATGTACTCCCACTGTCACCACTATACGCTGTGTTGGCTGGATAGCCTCCATATCCACCAAACCAGCCATAATTAACATCTGTAGGAATCTTTGCTATAAATCTCCGTTTCATCTCACATTGGGTGCTGTGACATGTGCTAACTTCAGATAAGTTAACAGACCACGGAAATGACTATACTAAGGCCACCCTCCTACATCATTTGTAGCTTGATCACCTCTCACGTAAAATGAACTAACAAGGGTGTGAGCATAAAACCTGGTGCTACATCTATATTCAACAGGATCTGGTTTAAAAGTAGGTCACATATAAAAGGAAAACAAGGTCATTTTCACCTTCGCCCACGTGTGTTTGAACAAACGTGTACATACTGATGATTAATGTAGATAAAATACTTGTGGGGATTTAGAGTATTGTAAAGATATCTGTTGAACATAAAGCAAGTCCTTTTGAGTGAATGCCAATGTTTTTCATATATTACAGCCTTACATATAAAAGGTGCAAATTTATATGTGCCATCTTGCAATGTGGACTATTTCCTGGAAAATGCAAGACTGCTGAAGTTAAATAACATAGCAGACTTATATGACGAAGCAAGGAAAAGGAAGAGGCACATTTATAATACTGTAAGGCAAGGGAAGTTATAAAAGTTTTTAAAATTATTTTTCATATGTTGATTTAATTATTATTTTTTTACTGTGTAACCTGCAGGTAATTCCCTTCAGGAAATCTGGTTGATATAAAGATGGCTCCAGTGTGTAAATATCAGTTTTTTACCAAATATTTCACTTTGTTAAAACATAAAGAGAACCCATGTACATGACTCACATTTCTTTTATGTATCTATGCACTGGAAACAACAGCAACAGCATATACATCTTCATGCATATTAAGATATGTGGGAGAACCTTTCAAACTTTCCCTTTTTTGCTGCTAATATGTGATGTCACTGTGTATATTTGCAGGGATGCCAACTTCCTGTATCTGACTCTTGTTGGGGCTTATTATCAAAACTTAACAACGTATGGATATCATGATGAACAATCTACACATTGTGAATATTATCATGCAGAGAACCCTGGATATGTGTAACCACTAATAATTTATGTTGGTATATTCAGCTGTGCTGTGCCGTGGGCATTAAGGGTATCGAAAGAATAATTGATGCATTTTGGGTATTTTTCATGTGTTTCATTATATATTTTGTATTATATTTCAGGTATTTTGAAAGTTTATGAAACATACTTCAGGGTGTGTCTTTGGGGGGGGGGACTAAATAGCAGTATATAATCAGAAAATCTTAATTCTTATGCAAGGTCTTATAAAAATAATATATGGTTAGTATAACATTGTACAGCATTAGTATATATCTATATATAATTAGAAGCAAAAAACACCCAATATCCCAATACCAAATACTAATTCTGACGCCCATAATCCAGAACTGAATACATATATATATATATATATACACATTTTGATATAAAAGCCAAAAAATAAAAAGCTTTGAATAACTCACGCTCCTTTCCCCCTGCAAAATCATAGGCACAAATAACATATACATAAGCATACAAAAATCAAGTACACAACTATTTTCCCCTACTTAACTATATACATAGAAACAAATGGACAGCATAAATCAAATAAAAATTAGGCAACAAAAGCTGTCACATGTGCAAATCTGTACATGCATCAACATTTGTGAAACTCACTAAACCATGACAGAAAACATAATATTTACACTTTAATTACATGCACTAAGATTAAGCTTTAACTGTTCAACTTTTTTTTTTTTTTGGCAAAGCATCAAGGCCAAAGTGATCAATATAATTCCATGAATATTGTAAAACTAGAGAACTTTGATGCACCAATCTTTTTCAAATCATAGGCAGAAAGAAATTGCATTTTACCTACTACAGTTTAACATCTAACCTCAATAAGAAATCAGTGTGAATACATTTAATTGTTCTCTGTATTCTATCAATAATATTGAATCAAAGTATATACATGTATGACCATGTATATCCACTGTTACACACATTAAATAAATAACGTTCACTTTTTCTAAAAAATATAACATTTACACACACATGAAACAGAAAACTGTGAAAATCGACATAAGTGTATGCTTTTTAACCAGAAATTATAATACAAATAATCCCCCCTGGTGCATGTGCATTTGACATCAATGGCTGATTTTTTAGCTGTAATGTCTTAAGTTTTTCCAAGGGCTAAGATTTTTCATCAAGTATATTACCATGTATTGCTTAAAAACACATGCTACTGTACTATAATTATCTGGTCATGAATACACATTTTCATGGCAAATAAAATAAAAATAAATCGACTTACGCAGCTGTATTGGCTTTCTCTGTGAAGATTCTAAGTAGGAAATCCCCTTCCTGATTAGGCTCAAATGTGGAGGGGATGATGGCGTAAGAGCCAGGAGGCAGCTTGTGGCGCCCACACACTTCCCGCATGTTGATAAAGGAAGGAGACTTGGCAAAGGATGCATTGTACTTGAAGAACCGCAAGTCAAGGGGTCCACAGTCTGGATCTTTAAGCTGAAAAATCAATTGGGTTAGATCTTAACTATGTGTTCTCTAGCACCAGATGTTGGTTGGGTATACATAACCATGTGAAAATTGCTAATACAAAAGTCACCAGACTATCCTCCATATTATAAGTGCTCTATACAAGGATAAACTGCATACACCAGTAAACTTATGTTATGTGAACATACAGAATTATTAAAGATTTATTCAGAATCAATCAAAATTAAGTACTGGTGAAGCATCCTAAATGTCTGAGCTACACATATGCCTAATATGGTGCAATGTTGATGCATACCAGATAGATGGCGTAGCCAACAGTAAGAAGATCTAAGCCCTCTTTCTTCTTCTTACGCCTATCCTTTTGCATAAGTCCAACAATAATAGTGCATGTGTTGTCATCATCATCTTCATCTGGATCTGTCACTGAAATTCTGTATTGGGGGTTGGTCCAAAAAGTATCTGAGGATAACAAAAAAACAAAGTCAGGTCTACAGACTCGGAGAGAGAAAACACATACCATATTACAACAATTTAATAAGAAAAGAGAACAAGATCAATATCAGGGGTGCTGCTTATGTGGCCAAGGTTTAGATGAAGCACTACATACTGAGAGGTGATTGAAACCAAAAACTTTCTATTCAGCCAATATCAGGTCTAAGTATCTCAAGTTTTATGCTGGTAGAACATTTAGCAAATTTTACAGCAGAAACTTGGAATCTGTTTCTGATTTGCCCACTAGATTTTATCAAAGAAGACTGTATCCTCTAACCCAGATAATTCCTGCATCCTCCTGCATTGACCCTGCGTTTCCAGCCCCCTTCTTCACTACTAGCTTCCCACTTTTTCTTTGAGGTAGTGCCCAATTCATCCTCAGTCAGTGCATCAGGACCAAGGTTACAAATTTCAAGTTTTTGGAAGTTTGAGGCAAAGTCTTTAAAGGACATCCTTTAAGATAAAAAAGACAAAAGAATTAACATATATACATATTGTTTCATCNCCCAATTCATCCTCAGTCAGTGCATCAGGACCAAGGTTACAAATTTCAAGTTTTTGGAAGTTTGAGGCAAAGTCTTTAAAGGACATCCTTTAAGATAAAAAAGACAAAAGAATTAACATATATACATATTGTTTCATCTGGCAAGTATTTTATTACATAATTAAAAAATTGTGAGCTTCAATGATGCAATGTTAATGCCAACATTTTTTTAAAATTCTACATTGAAAAATTTACCCATAATTTTAACTTATTGTCCAATCTTACCAAAATTCCCCATCATCATCAAATTGCAGACCAATTTCTTGTCTTTCTGCTTCGGAGATAAAGTTCCATTCTGGAGACCTGCATAGACAGAAATTCAACCCCTGTGACTAAATTCAATGGGTGTGTGGCTGCATATATATGTGTGTGATTCTTAGTTCAATTGGACAGCAAATCAAAGCAAACAGTTACACAAGCAATCAAATATACTTGTAAGCCAAGAGTTACATATATATTTATATGTGTGTGTATGTGTGTGTATAAGAAAATACAGAATAAAGAATTCAAATCTTTAACCCCAAATATATTATATGCTGTATATATTGTATACATAGGACATGTTGATGGATTGTTTTTCTATTTTTTTTAAAGGACCATTGTGGTAGACAGCAATCTGCACAAAAGCCCTACAAATATGCTGTAGCCAAACAGCAGTTCCAAAATACCCCTTACTTGTCTCCCCAAGCACCCTTCCACTCAGCTTCATTGCCCCAAGGATTGCGAATTCTGATCAGAGGGATCTTACCAGCCATACGTGGGGTCTTAATGTCCACCTGAAATAAAACAGCCCACCCTTCTTTTATATTAATTGTTTTAATTGCTTTAGAGGTGATATGCATGGAGCATGAAGAGCTCCACCAGGTTGCATGGGTTGCATTTTGTTAAGCAAACTTCTACCCTAAATTTAACAGCAGCTTATGTGTACCATGTAATCTGAGGCTCGTAAGCAGCTCTGAACTTCAAATCCTTTAGTACCCACCCCCTCTCCTTTTCTGGACCAGTCATGTTCCTTCATCTGCTCTCTGGTACATAAATTAATAACCTTGCTTGTGTATTCAGCGTATTGCCACCTCCCATCTCCCATGTGGTTTGCACTATTGATAGCTCACACTACAATTGTTATCATTATAAAACAACCCATCTGCTGCACAGCAGATATACACCTAGCATCATCTAACATGGGGAAGGATGTTTATATTGATAGCAAATGATTGTTTGTGTCTGTAGCAATTCTGGTGTTGTTTTGTTGCTTCAGGTAGTTGCCAAATGTTTACAGGTGTTGGGGAAGCATGCTTCAGTGAAAACCAGAGTTGCTTATGAAGTTTCAGATTACATGGAATTACATAACAAAAGGATATAATTATGCTGCTATCTTGTGCAGGAAGAGATAAAGTCTTTAAAATAGCTAATGCATTGCCTAATGTATCAAATGAAGGAACAAATAGTCAAGGCATGATCCTTCTGAAGAAAACATCCCTTATATGTGAATAAGGCTTTCAAAAAATGATGTTAAATAAAAAGGCTTTCAGTCTCAGTAACAAAAAATTAACCTTTAACTGAACAGATTCTATACTCATAAGCATAATTTTCTGGTCTCATTTGTCCCATCAATATCACATAACAGGAAAATTATAACATAGTCTCATTTCCCTTGTTTAAAAACTCAGTGAACCAGACCAGTGACCAATACCTACCATCTTGACACTTGTTATGCTGTATGCATGACCCATGATAAGGCCATTGGAGAGTTCTGCCTCCAGCTGATGTGGACTAGCCTGCAATATTCAATGTTATATGATATGACATGAAATATTTGTGAAAGCAGACCAGGTGTACATAAGACAAACTCTCCTCCTCATAATACCTCCAGATCTTCAACTTCCATCAACATGGTAATTTATTAATAATAGCCTGTTATTTAATTTCCTTAAAGTTTTATTGTGTAATTCCACTGCAGACCTCTTGGTTTGAAATGCTATTTTAAATTTCAATGTAAATCAATGACTAGAGCAAGTATTTAAATGATTTTTTAAGAGCCATAAACCAATGGCAAAATGCCCTCAGCAAGAGGCCAGTTCAATAATAAAATCATTTTAGTGCAAATTTTCTTGCTGGGTAATGCAGAAATGTGTACTGAGCTAGTGAATAGCCAAAGAAATATGTGAGCATGTAATAAAAAATCTGTGACTCTGGTAGAGGATAATGACAATGGGCTTTCAACAATGCTTCAGCATTTTTTGTGTGGTTCTATGATTCAAATTTAATAGGTAAAAATATGAAATTGGACTTATGACAATTTTTTTTTTTTTTTTTGCTTCAGGGATGGGGGGAGGGGGGCATGACTTTTTAACTAAAGGTTTTATTATAAATTTGAGCTACATTTTTGTCTTACATGTCCCTAAACAACTACTGATTCAAGAATGTTATCTGAATCAGATTTGCTTAAAACTGTTTTTGCTGCAATGGGGCATAGAAACTCATTGTTCTATGTCATAATATATCAAGTCTAAAAATAATGTCTCAATCAAATGCATATTTATCAACTGTGGTGCAATGACATTGAGAGGAAAGACACCTTAGTGACAGGAAATGTGACTCATTTCTTATTGCAAATCAAAATCTCTTTTACTTGTGCCACTCATAAACTCAGCTTGCTATTCAAATTTCTCTGTAACATGCTTGAGAAAGAGTTGAAAATACTAGTAGACTGTCATATGCAAGTTTTGATTTCAGAATGATTTCCTGATCATATGTAGCACAAAGCGAACAATGCTACATTCAATTCTGTTCCCTTTAAATATGCCAAAAAGTAGGCAAAACTTCAACTGTTCTTTTCATTATGTGAAATCATGTAAGCAATGGGCTGAGCTCAGCAACAATGTCTGACTTTAACCTTACTTCCATCAACCATGTTATATTCTGTTATACTATTCATTCTAAAAAGAGATTAATGAAATTTGCCACTTTTGATAGTAAAATTGAGTACCATTCAGCCGAGAACCTTGAGCTGCCATAAAAATAATATAGATGAAAAAGCTAAAAATACAAACATTCAAATGATTCACGAGTCAGCTGAAACATGTTATGCAATAACTTGGGAATGAAACTTCCCACTAAGGGAAATCATGATACCTACTGAGTTGGCTATAAGTGCTGATAAAATAGCCCAGACTTGTAAACCTTTAATTTGCTAATGTTTTTCACCGTCACACCAAAAAGTATGATTTATGACACATGAATAATGTTTATCTTTTGTGCTGTGATGTTTGCAGTGCACATGCAGCAAGTAAACACTCTTTTTCTGAGACATAATGATCACCACTGCTCATTACCTTATCACTGTTTATGAAGTAAATTTTTTCAAGCACTTTCGCTTTTGATTTTAAAATTATTTCAGGTACTAGCTCTCTCAGAGCTGCCCCACATGTGTGTGTGTGTGTGTGTGTGTGTGTGTGTGTGTGTGTGAACTGACTTAAAAAAATCCTGTAAACATATAAATCTCTTACATATGGTAACATTGTGACTGGCAACACATGTTTCAAATATATCTTAGAAACTGAAATCTGTTTATGATTCATTACAGGTGTATCACAGAGCTGCTTCAGATGCTTGCTGCCAAACCTGTAAAATGCACCATTAACCCTGCACTTTGTTTTGCTCAAAAAACTCACCTCAGTACAGTGCAAATGCAATTTCTGTAAAAGTGGAGCATTTCCAAATTGGTTTTCAGATTTTGTATGCACATAGGCAATGAACTTGGAGCTGACACTGAGTTTAAGAAGAATGAAAATGGATACGGCACCTGAGCAAATCTTATTTAGTGCAACAACAATGGTGCTTTACAAAGGTTTTCCAAATTTATGTAGAACTACACCTTGATATTGTACACGATTGCAATTGGCAAAGTGTTTGGAAAAAATAGGCCTAGAGGTTTTAATTCTTTATATGTATTATAGGATAAAAGAAATGAAAAATTCCTTCCTGTTCTCCCTCCTGGTCAGAAGTCCTATTTATGCCAAATGAAAAATTATGTCAAATAAAATATTCAATTTGCCAAAACAGCAAATTTTTTTGCAATTTCTTAAACAATAATATAAGACATTTCTAATTCATCTCAATCTAAAAGTGCTGTCTAACCTCAATTGAGCACCCCATGAGAGAACTTCTTTCGAAGGCCTTCTGCATAATCTGGAAGAGATTTGGTGGCTGGGGCTGCCTCAAATCAAACATCTCAGTGACACCCCCTGTGAAGTCCTCCATAGCCTCACATGTTGAACCTCCTTTGAGTGCCTCATAAGAACCACATAGCCTAAAACCAGGTGACAAATATTATTACATATCATATGACATCATAGCTATATTTCCAAAGTATTGTTTATTTTGATGGATGTGAAATATGACTTCAAAATTTGAAGACGTATACTTGATGACCTTAAGCCATATATTCACTTTAAAATGAATGGTTTAACATACATGTATATATTTAGAATAATCCTGACATCAGTTATCAACTTATGGCTTCATGTACAGCCAAGGCCAACAAAGTGTGACAAAGATACCAAAAGTCTTGCAGAAATTACATCATAAGCTAACTCAGTATATTGCAAAATGAAATGAGAGGACACTTAATCCACAGGGACAAGCAGCAGCAATATCCATTTCTTATATTGAAAAAAGTTACTTGCTCTGAGGTTGTTACTTTGCGTTAGTACCATGGCCATTTATTGATCTGTATTATCAGAAGACTACACAGTAAATTGCTCGTTTGACATTTGTTGCCATGATGTAGGGTTCATATTATGAATCAAAGAGAGAAATAAGCTATAAAGCATTCAATAAATGTGAGTCTACTAATGTTACTGAGCTTACTTGGCATAAGCCTTCTCCAGCATGGCAGACCAGAACTCATTACTGTCAGCAGAGTGCATAAAGACAAGGCGGTTATTATAAGTTGGAAGACGATCATCAACCACCACATCCACCCATTTGCCAAAACGCCAAAACTGAAAATTAAATAAAAAAAGATAAAATTTCATTGCATTAGATATCAACAAATGGCACCATAACTCTTGGCCATATTAACTGTCATCATCACTGAAATAGGTTCCATCTCACATCAGTATGTGTGGGATCTTGGGTGTGTTCAAAGTGAAACTATTGTACTAGGTAGTTTAAACTAACTCTGTGGGGATTCTAGCTGAATGCAATCAGATTAACAGATGAAAATGCGTATGAGTATTGTGGGGAAATATATAGCAACTGCTCCATTATGACTTAATTCCTCTTCCAGTCCATACAGTTTTGGTTTTTCTCTTGGTTGGCATGTTTTATTCAAATTACGCCAATTGTCAAAATCTACAGCTATTAAAGCACTAATATCATGAGTTTTACTTTGCAGGTACTTGTATGTAAACAAATGAATTAAATTGTTGTCCCACAACAGGCTCTGATTCACTGAGCAACATATCACAATATCAGGGAAGGACATCATTACTGGGTTCCCACACCCAGATCAATCTAACAGGATCGATCAATCTCCAAGAAGTTTCTTTCTAAATTGCTTTCAGCTTAAGCGGCTTAGATGTCTGGCATGCCTACTTAAGCTGCTAAATGATAATTAATTACCCCTAGCAGCTTCAGGGGTTGTGACAGACACCTAAGTTGCTTTAGTTGACTGAATTTAGCGAAAATTCCCTTGGAGATAGATGGATCCACAGTATGATAGGGTCTTGGAATGGGCCCATAGGCTTTTCGGGTCAATGAATGTCCCTTGCAATATTCATAAATATATCATAATATAAACACATTGGTAAAATGAAGTAAAATACCTAGTTTATATAAATGTTCATTTTTAAATTTATATGCAAAACATGAAAATATATCATCAGTAAGTTGTGTAATATGTGCAAGACTTGTACAAAGTATCGTTCATGTACATGTACCTTACCTTGAACACAAATATTCCTGCATATTCTCCATCAGCAAAAGACTGATTTGGTGGTACCACCTTGTGGAGGAGTTCTTTGTTCAAAGACAGTGATGCAATGGCAGCCAGAAGCCAGCAATCACCTGCAAAACATATATTAAGTCATTTGGTCATAATTTAGCATTTCAATTTCCATGTTTTAGAAAAAAAAATCCTCATCATCGCCCTCATCTTCCCAGAGTGCCATCTTGTGGCAGGCTTACTTGGAAAAGTAAAGAAAGCTGAGGTTTAGAAAATGATACTTCACAGCAAATGTTCAAATCTGTTGAACTCATAAAACTGTTGGCAAGGACAAACTTTCATATGTTTCAACTTTGAAGCTATCACAGTTTGGAGCACAGTTTGGCGAGGAAAGAATGACATTTATTACATCAAGAATATCACTGCTAAATTTGGTGCATACAGACAATGAAGTTGTTGATATAACATTGCAGAGTAAAGTAATGGAATATCATGTGCAAAGTGACTTATGAGTGAATTGCTACGAAAATAGTAAAACAGATGAAGGTTACTATTTTTTCTTTAAGCCTCGGTCACAACCGGCCATACGGGCTCTTACGGGCTGTTTGCGTACAAATTTTGCGCAGAATCTCACGTCCCACGCAAGACAAACTCAAGAAATGAGTACAAATTCCACGGCCATCGCTCCTTGCAATTAGCGTCCCTGCTTAAAAGGAAATCTCATGTAGCCCTTGCGACTCGCAAGGCAGACTTTCCTCTACCTCTACGACCTCCACGGCCTCCGCAACACCCAAAAATCGCAGGGGACGTACGATCCTGAAATTCGTGCATCCGGTTGTGACCGAGGCTTTAGCCAAAGTACTATTTCCCTTATACAAGAAAGAGATATTTATCACTTGGTGCATAATTACAATGTGTAAAAGTGCATGGGATTTTACCAAACTATTACACAACTGACGTTATGATGCTGCAGTTTAGTTTGTTTAAATTACATATTGTTTAAATTATATGAGTGAATTATATGAGTGAATTTTTGACCCCCAGGATTCAGTGGTTCAGAGAGATGTGACATAGATAGATGGAGGTTCCTCATATTTTCATATCTCTTAGCCACAATCTAATACCCATTAGATTGAAATGAGTGGTCTTCTACCTTTAAAAGCTTATGAACTCATATGGATCTTCAGCAGTATTTTATGGTGGGCCACTTGCAGCTTTTAAAGTCATTATCAATCCAACTGTTTCACCTAGGGGTGTGTTCATCCTCACAACATTATTTTCATACGTACCCCAGTCATCCAGGGATAAACAGATAGTTATCTTTCTGCTGAATAGTAAATGGAGGGTTAGATATAAAGTCCTACTATATACAGACAGGTCTCACAGGCATGACTGAACATTTCTGTCTTTTGACAGAACACAGTAGTTATATCATCCCCTGACACTCACAATTTACCATCTGGTTAAATTATTACACCAAGCCCTTCTTTTGCAAATGCACATGAAAGGGTTCAACAAACCAAATACCCAAACCATATATATTAACTTTGAAAACATTTGAAAACACTCTTGGCAGTGACAATACCTGGCAGTTTCCCTTCTTATATATTCAATTGTAATTATGATATTAGGCAGCTAAAGCTTTCAAATGGACAGACCACTAAGGCAGCATGCAAACTGTTACATCAATATGAACAGCAGCACTTCAGCCTGAAAGCAGTTCCACAAGATAAAAAGGCAGAAGCTTACCTAACTGCTGGATTTGGATTTCAAATAATATAAGCAAAGTGTCACACAAATATTAACATATCAATTTCGAAAGTATTTCGATACCACCAGTGAAAAACACACAATGTGTAAACCTTTTAACTAGCTGACAGTCTTGACTATTTGTACATAAAAAATAATTGACATATCCTTGAAAAAAGAAAGATGAGCCACATAGCAAACTGTTTTCCCTAAAAGACATTGAATATGCCAGTTGATGAAGCTTGGTACTAATGGCACAATCAACCCTGTTCATTTGTCAGAAATTTTTCTTGATTTTTCACATGCTCAGTTATGTTAGTAATATTTGGCATATTATAACAATTGCTTATTCAATTTGCAGATTCCAAAGACTGCCAAAGCAGAGGCACGCACAAGACCAGAGAATCAATCCAACCTCACACCCAATATCTTCACAACATCTGCACCAATGACTAGAACCTCTATCTCCAGCTTTACCAAAGCAGACATCTGCAGATTACAAGATGCGAAGGATTCCCTAGCCAAAGAATATGGCAAATCAGTTTTACTATTTCCAGGGTAACAAACTTAGAGAGTAACTCCATGGGATTTTCCCCCCAAAATGGATTTTCCCAAGGATATAAGAAGTTTTCTCATACTCACGAATCATTCATCTATCCCCCTCTGCACTTGGATTCAACCCTTGATTAAATTTATAAAGGCTGATTTAGTTTGAATGGCCAGTCAAAATAGTCAGCAATCATCTTCCTATATATGCTCTTATGTAAATATAAACATCAAGTACGCTCCACAAAAAATTATTTACGGGGTTAAGGAGTATGTAAGGTTTTATAAGAAGCTGCGGATGGCAAAAAAAATAGCATTTGGGGGATTTTCAAATCCATGGAGTGTACCTTTAACCAAATAATGGTGGTACAACATAAATGCAAACACTAAAAGGCCAACAAGTGTGCAAGACAACAGCCTTCCTGTTTCTAGTTATCTAAGTTCAAAGGTCATAGTACAGAAAAAGATGCTATAAAAGAAAGCTAGAAAAAGATGGGAAAACTTTCAAAAAATTCTGATCAAGCCCATTTTCATATCATGCAGTCTGTATGAAGTCTGTGGCTTCCACAAGTTGAAAGTAATACAACAGCTCAGTTTTTAAGCTTTTGCTAGCACAAGAACTAACAGGCCAATTTCAATGGTACAAAAAACCTGGTAATGGCTAAGTATACACGTACATACACAACAGCATCTGTACATAAATTGAGCTCTGATGGTAATAATTTATGCAGAACTGACCCTGGGCTAAAATAAACTATCATGATGTGATTACTCAGGACTTGACCTACATGATATTAAGAATATATTCATGACAGTATTGTATATATATTGATATTGGTATTGGAACTATAAAGAATATATTTACATTAAATACAAAATGTTAACCCCATTTTATTTACAAACAAACAACAAGGGTGGTATGGGCGGGGTCTTTTAAGAAGTCACATAAATTATCCAGCTCACCATGTGATCATCCACACACATGGTTTTAATACTTCAAGGTACTAATAGTAGAATTTTTTTGCCGGACCCATTCTTTTCAAATTGCATATCTCAAGGGCGTGTTACGCCCATTTCAAGCCTTGAAATCCCTCAAATATAACATTTTTATATACAGTGCAAAATGTATGCTCAATATTTTACACTGCCTTTCCCCTTTTCTACATATCCTAGATCTGCACCTGTTAACCTATTAACCTATACCCATGGTGAAGAAAAAATATGGCAGATCAATTAACATCCATCCATCTGTAAAGTACTCATTTTGAAAGTGGCATACACATGCAGTTATATTTGCTTCCATATAACAAATTGATTGTCTACTATCTGCAATTAGTACTGGCCATGAGGTATACATCAGCGACAGTACAGGGAAATAAAAGCTTGTGCACTAACACGTACTAGAGTGATTCATTAAAACAGACAATTTCCAGCACAACAATTATGGGATTCATTTCCTTACACATCAATGTAATATGATGTTCCCATGGCATACATAGCTGTAAAACAATAAAAAATAATTCACACAAAAAATACCCATTATTCTACAAAAGTGGCGCCAAATTCCAGAAATGCCAGACAGCCATTACATGCAACCTGGCATCAGACCAAATTCTAGCATGACTACAGGGGTGGGTAGAAAGGGACTGGCAAGTTCAATGAAAGTTTAGAATGTCTTTATATGCTTAAAGATGAAGACAATTCAAAGACAATTTCATCATATACACTAGCCCAAATGCACACCTAGCAGGCGACCAGGAGGGCTTAAACAATCTTCATTTCTAAATTCTGAAACCCTGTCTAGCATACTGGTTTTTTGAACCTGCTGTGAGATTACAGACCTAATGTTGCGGCTGTTCTCAATAAGGGGGGATTTATGGTAACAGTGCTTTTTCTTTCTTTTTTTAAATAAAGCAAATTTTATAAATGATAACCATTACACGATTAAATATAATTTGTTTAAAACATTCAAATTTCATTGGTTATAAAAAAACATGCAATTTTAACATCATTGATCAAGGTTTTAATATTGTGGTCACAGATATATCACCTAAAATACATGTGCTGGTACTGTGATATGAATAAATGAAAGAATGAGGTGAAGCTGATATTGGGCATAAAGGGGAAATGTGTGTGTGTGTGTGTGTGTGTGTGTGTATGTGTGTGTGCTATTAACATCAATACAACAATTATTTTCCAAATGTAAACTAAGCCAGGTAAGATTAAATCTGTGTCACCCTTGATCATTACTGGTTTAAACAGGCTTGGACCCCATTCAGAATAGGGGACTAACTAGTCCCAGGGTCAAATATGGCTGACTGGCCTGACACACTTGAATATTTCCCAATGGGATATCCATTCAGTGTCTGTTAGCAGATAAGATGGCAAGCTTTGTAGTAGGTCGCCATATTTGACCCTGGGACTAGTTAGTCCCCTATTCTGAATGGGGCCTTGCACAGTTATGGTGTATATTGATTAGGTACCTGGATAAATTTTTACCCTAAGCAGAAATGCCTTTAATTTTTATAGTGGGGGAAAGAAACTGTTATCCACAGCATCATGTTTTAATGGGGTGTTGTGGAAAAAATGGCAGATACATCCCTGCCCCCTCTTTCTTCTTTATATCCTAAAAGTTTCTTTAACATAAAAGGGAATTATAATATGAAATAAAATCCAATCACACTTTAATCAACCTTATCACTGAAATGCAATAAAATCTAGTAAACTGACCTTGAAAAATTGGCCAAAGTTTTACAAATGTAAAGCTCACACACACCTACACCTGATGATATATCATTTTTATCAATTACGGTGAAATGCCTGGTGCAACAAATTTGGAGCAATGTCAGATTGTTGACACATCTCTTCCTACTATTCAATGGTACCACAGTAGTAACTAATCTCTTATCACTTCTGATAAGAGAAACCACCTCCACCTACACAAATGATATTACAAAAATGTTGGACCACTTTACTTGTGTGACTTTGAATCTCACTAGAAACTGCAACAGATACTGCATCCCTAGACCCTATACAGACAAGGATGTGGAATTTCTTTTTGGTCGTGGCAAAAAAAGAAAAAAAAGAAAGCTTCCATCTAAAGCAGGGTGCAAATAAAATTCACAACTTAATAATGTTTGTGCAATGAATAAGGCTTTATACTAAATCATGCTTAAATGAAAATTGGACTAAATTGGTAACTGGGTCTGATAAAAAACTTGCATACCTAAACTCAAAGACACTATACCTTCATTCTGCTGACTTTATCAAACGCATACAAAGGGTTTTTTTTAGTCCTCTCTTTTGCAAACTCTCAAAGTGATTGAGTCATAAAACTGCTACGTATACCTTGTTATCAAGCCTGGATGAATAACATCATTTGTTACCTTATCATAAATAACTATGTAAACCAAGAACTGATCGAAAACACTATATGTCAGCACATAAAAATGCATCTTAGTTGAAATAATTAGATTGAATCTCATCCACTATATTGGTTCATGGAGAATTTCATAATAGGGAACTACCCGCATTTGATTTTTTGCAACAGTGATATTTCTCAGCGATACCAAATGATATTTCATGCAAGTTTTCCAAGTTTCATGCCCAAATAATGAGATATTGTGTTGCAATATGTAAATATGCCTGTATGTTCTTCCTGAAAATGAGCCTAAATAATATAATATGTTTGAGAGTATTATGATTACTTTTTGTGTATGTATGTATATATTGAGAAATGTTTATATTAAGTCAAAAATAATAATGTTACAAATCAAAAGAACAACAGTTTTTGAAGAAAGTATTTATAAGCTAAATAATGATGCATTACACCTTCAGAAGTTATGCTTATACCATGTAATACAGAATTTAATAGAGTAACTAAAATAGACAGGAAACAACTTAGACTATACTGGAACAGTATCTTTTTGGATTTTAGTAATTTTATGGGTCATATTAAGCCAAAGTGCTTACATTGTGGGGCTGGAGAATGTAGTAAGCAGATTTAAACCAAGATTCATGTCAGGTTTTAAGAGCTTGTTGACAAGAGTGTCTAACATTTTACATAGCAATGAACAAACTAGCAGCATCAAAATCAGTGCAGAGTATATGGGGACAGTCTTCTAGCCCAGTGTAAGGTGTTCACATCTTAAATAACCACAGGTCAAATTGTTAGTAATTAAAAGATGTTTTAAAAGGAAAGAAAATATAATTCAATTCCAGATCAATCTTTATAAATAAAAAACACTTTGATTTTAAAATATTATAAAAAAATTGAGGATGCCATCCTATAACCAGTTTGCCCCCTTGGTACATGCCTATGCAACAAAGGTATTATTATTATTATTATTAATATTATTATTATTATATTCAGAGTTTGTTAAATGATAGCAATTTGTGGCACAGGTAAGTACCGCAGGAAAGAGTAGAACACATCCTGATCATATCTTCAAATCTTATCAACTAGGGAAGTTATCACCATACTATAATGGGAGTCAGTTCAGGAAAACATGAAACTATTTCTGAAGAATTCATAATTTAGCTTGTTATTACAGTATTTGCTTATGAGGTAGACACATCAATATTTCCATTTAAATTTTTCATCAGACAATTTAAAGGGCATGTGAAAACAACTGAAGGCTAAAATCCAATGATAGGATTTTTCCAAAGCAAAGGAAAGACATCTCTCTAAAAATATTTCTTACCCAATTCTCCTTGCTGAACATCAAATCTGCTGGCACCCCCTACAAACAGATCAGGGTTGGAACAAAGCTCCTGAAATAGAAAATATGTTTGTTCATTAGTAAATGCAAGGCACTAATACGTAATTAAGATGTATGTTTTGATATATAAAGGTTCCTGGTGCATTAAAAAAATGAGCATTTTCATAGTCATGGAAGGTGATAGACATTAGTATGGAGATTGATAGCGATAACCTTTTAATTTATGGAACCTGAAAGTTCAAACCACACATTCACTAAAATTACATGCATACCTATAACAAGTGATCCTAGTTTTAACTATTTTAGGCCCCATTCCCATTGTCACCATGGGTCTACATATACCGACTCAACTCTGTAGGGGCTCTCATTAAGTACAATCATCTTAAAAGATTAACATGCCTTCTCCTGGTGTTAAGTAGAATACAGAAAAGCTGGTGATTATTCAAGTTTGTTAGAAACAAGAGGAGATGTGTCATTCTTTTTAAGCTGAATTCCCTTAGCGAGAGTCCCCACAACGATGGGTTGATCTATGTACATGGGAGGTGTCTATAGGAACGGGTCTTACAGTGTGGGGTGGGAGGTACAGCCACTGGCCTAACCAACAATTCTATGAAAATATGACTCAGTCTGTGAATTTCATCTTTTTTTATGGTCTGGAGATTTATTGAATTTTTTGGGGGGAGGGGGGATGGGGGGGGGGGGGGGCAGACCTCCCTAGCTTGGCAATCACCTGTGGTGATCTCATTAATGGAATTGAGGAAATTTCATACTATGAGGGGGGGAAACAGGTCTATGGATTTACAGAATCTCTAAGAACAATCATGTGTATAAAGTCATAAATCTGTATGTCACATACTGTGCTATAGATCTAGAGAAAGAGAAAATATTCAAAACACACAGTAAGTATTTGTTCAGAAGAGTGGAACCATTCAAGAGACTTAGGGTTTTATCTCTCTCCACATTCAGTATGCAAGATGATTTAGAGAAAGTATTGTCTATACCAACTGTGGATACGCAACATTAAGTCTAAGTGGGAGGATTGATATTCAGGTACTGATAAAGCACCTGTGTAGTAGCAAGATCATGCCAGTGACCACAGGCATGATAAAACTGCTGTCCACCTCCAAATCTGAAAATTGCTCTGTTTATTTCATGTACACTTTCTCAGAAACATTGGCACATAACTTTTCATGTACAGACAAAGCAAGTTTATATTAAAGAACTGTATCATTTGTGCATGTACCTATATCCATACATAACATTAGGTCATGACTGTGACCCAAGACATTTCTTAAACCAACAATATGTCCTGTAAAATATATTTTGTCAAAGGTTATTATGATAAACAGCACGATAATCAATTCAGTCAGGCTATGTTTCATGCTAATATGCATGTTATCAGTAACTTCTCTTGGCTAGGTTAGCATCCACACCCTTGAAATAAATAACAGAAAGTTGCCCAACTTTCATTTGTTTACTAAATTATTCTCTCCTGATCATGTTTTAAAGATTAATGCATATCAAAGATGCATTACCAAGAATTTTAAGCAAGTGTCTTTTTATTTATTTATTTATTTATTTATTATGTCATTGTGTGTGAGTGTGTGTGGAGGACTAGGTAAAGCACTTGGTCAAAACAGAGATTTGCTACTTTCAACATCAGAGACCACTTTACCCTCATCCTCAATTTTTTCCAATTATGTAACTGAATCCATGCATTTCACATAAAGATAATAATGGATCAGATTTTCTCTAATGCATCACATTTTCTCTAACCCAAGGACATCTACCAAAATTATCTAAACAGCAAAATAGAGCTTGGTAAAAGTACTACATAAGAATATCCTAAAATTTCCTAAAATGACTTCATTCTGATTTTATCAGATTTCATGTAAATTTCTCCATTTTACAATGGAGTATTCACTTCAAAAGCAATAACTTACAAACCATTTCTGTGACAAGGGTTTTTCCAGTGCACTGTCCAGCCGTCAGTTGGACGGCCAACAGCATCACTCGACGGCCTGTATTTTCAAAGACGACTGGACAGCTTACGGATTTTTTGGAAATATGATGGCTTTAGGCATACTTAGACCCCGTGAATTTTTTAGAAAATTAAAGGTGGTCATTTTGGATGGCTTGTACCACCAATCCTGGGAAAAGCCCTGTTTCATACCCACGGTCCACATACTTGTTAACTTCCAAAGTAATAAAGTGATTAGATGGGAAGATGCACTTGAAACCAACTAACATAACTGGTCAAACTTGAAAGGTATATAAATGGTGAAAACATTGAAAAGCAGGTTAACAGAACATTAAGAACTGACTACTTTCTTATGATCAGATAGATGATTTTATGTAACATTAACTGTGATTTTTAGAATTATTAACACACAAAAACCTCAAAAACAAAGATATAACCCTTCCCCCCTTCAATCATTAACTTCATAATGTTCATCTACATATAAGTTCTTACTATGGATACATTTCTGTAATCATATATCAGAGTATACAACCTTACATTATTATAAGCTAATGATAAATAGCACACAATACGTATTGGTGGAGATTCTTTGTAGGCCATTTATTTTTAGAGGTGCAGCACAATACAAAACTGGGATATTAACAGAATCATAAATATTTTCAATTTTCTTTCCAGAAAAGAAATAATTTCCTAAAAGTTCAAGGAGTTGGAGGCACAATATCTAAGTGTTAGTACTGAGGGCACTTGATCACACATCATGGTTGACCCTTTCTTCTTCCACCACCAGCATATTATGTCGCAACAATCTATTCTAAATCAGGATGTGATTAAATATCTATGATCGTTGGTCTCAATTGCAATGTACTACATAATAGTATCAATAATTGCTCATCCCAGAAAAATTTTGTTCTACATACATGTCCATAAGACAGAAAGTTAACTAATGTTACAACAGATGTGTCTAGATAAAATTCCTGTATCACTGGGCAGGGAGAGTAGATAAGATAAAGCCTGACTAGACTACACAGGCTGTAACTGACAGAAGAAATATTGATTTTTGGTTGCAGCACACTAAATAACCCATACTTAGTTAATATGCGTCCATGCACCAATGAGAAAATTTTGACCTTCACTTACAAAATGGCATATTTGTACATCTTTGCACTGAATCCGATCCAGATCAAAGAACCCATACAGAAAATTATGTAGAATTACAAAACGAACTACTTTCGTAGCAACTGCTTAAAGGTGAAAGCCAATGAAGAAATAGGCATCCAGACTATTTATATTAAATCCAGGCAACAAAAAGCTAAATAAAGGTGTATGTGATTCCAACTTCATCCTTAGTTTCTGGATGTAGGTCAAGCAAAAATGAAACATCCTGCATTTAATCATAAAATTACTCCCAGATTTTGGCACAGCTTGTTGTAGCGCCACCAATCCCCAGTTCTATATATCAACAGAGCCGATATATATGAGCATTAGATCAGTACTGTCAGGTAAATTTTGCTAGCACCAGATTTGAGCTGCATGCAGTCACTTCATAGCAAGAGACCAACCTTGATACCATTATTGTTATTCAGAGTTATTACCTAACCTATGTTTAGGTTATTGATGAAGCTATTTTTGTTGAATAGTGCAGCATATGTACCAGTCACAACAGTGAATAGTAGAACCCAGGAAGAGTGAACTGCACTCGCAAGTGCCACCATTTGTAAACTATTCTGCTCACAATTTCACCTCTGAAGCTACCTGGCTGCCTGTGCAAGTGCAGGTTTCCAGAAAGCTGCAACTACACAGGAATGTACATGTGCCAAGAGCAACATCTAATTTAACAACCCAGTTCACAATCTGCAGGGAAACCCCGTGGAAGCTTATGAAATATGTAATGATCATATCAGGTCTGGAAAAGGATGTAATTACACATCTGCCCAGAGGAATAACACTTCTCTGTTTATCAAGATATTATTTCGGGTGGGTGTTGGGCAATCTATGATCTAACTTATCAATGTTTCTTTCCTCAAACAGAACTAAAAAAATAAACTAGGCAAAACAACAACAAGAAATTTTTGGAATACAGGACACTGCTATCTGTAATCTTGATCACAAATGGTGGGAAGGAGTAGCTACGATCTAGCTGATCTTTAACGGAGATAAGCAAACCCAAAGTCAAGACTTCTAACAGAAACAAGCATTATTTACATTGCTCTCTACCTCAGCTTCAATTTCTTGTAGACCATCTTTACACATAGGTATATTTGGTTCATTTTGAATGTCTTAGCTTCAATAAACCTTCCATTAATTTTTGGGATCAAGAGGCCATCCATAGTAAGGGTGTGAGGTACTTAATGGGTGATTAACTAATGCACTAAAAACAGCTCACTGCAAAACATCACATACGNCGGCGACGGCGACGACAGACGCAGGTGATGGCAATATGTACAGACACATCTGTGTCTGTACATAATAATAATGGATCAGATTTTCTCTAATGCATCACATTTTCTCTAAAACAAGGACATCTACCAAAATTATCTAAACAGCAAAATAGAGCTTGGTAAAAGTACCACATAAGAATATCCTAAAATTTCCTAAAATGACTGATTTTATCAGCTTTCATGTAAATTTCTCCATTTTACAATGGAGTATTCACTTCAAAGGCAATAACTTAATTACAAACCATTTCTGTGACAAGGGTTTTTCCAGTGCACTGTCCAACCGTCAGTTGAACAGCCAACAGCATCACTGGACGGCCTGTATTTTCAAAGACGACTGGACAGCTTATGGATTTTTTAGAAATATGATGGCTTTAGGCATACTTAGACCCCCTGAATTTTTTAGAAAATTAAAGGTGGTCATTTTGGATGGCTTGTACCACCAATCCTGGGAAAAGCCCTGCTTCATACCCACGGTCCACATACTTGTTAACTTCCAAAGTAATAAAGTGATTAGATGGGAAGATGCACTTGAAACCAACTAACATAACTGGTCAAACTTGAAAGGTATATAAATGGTGAAAACATTGAAAAGCAGGTTAACAGAACATTAAGAACTGACTACTTTCTTATGATCAGATGGATGATTTTATGTAACATTAACTGTGATTTTTAGAATTATTAACACACAAAAACCTCAAAAACAAAGATATACTAGTAACCCCTCCCCCCTTCAATCATTAACTTCATAATGTTCACCTACATATAAGTTCTTACTATGGATACAATTCTGTAATCATATATCAGAGTATACAACCTTACATTATTATAAGCTAATGATAAATTGCACACAATACATATTGGTGGAGATTCTTTGTAGGCCATTTATTTGTAGAGGTGAAGCACAATACAAAACTGTGATATTAACAGAATCATAAATATTTTCAATTTTCTTTCCAGAATAGAAATAATTTCCTAAAAGTTCAAGGAGTTGGAGGTACAATATCTAAGTATCTTGTACTGAGGGCACTTGGATCAACTATATATGGTGGTATATTTGAATTCACATCATGGTTGACCCTTTCTTCTTCCGCAACCAGCATAGTATGTCGCAACAATCTATTCTAAATCAGGATGTGATTAAATATCTATGATCGTTGGTCTCAATTGCAATATACTACATAATAGTATCAATAATTGCTCATCCCAGAAAAATTTTGTTCTACATACATGTCCATAAGACAGAAAGCAAACTAATGTTACAACAGATGTGTCTAGATAAAATTCCTGTATCACTGGGCAGGGAGAGTAGATAAGATAAAGCCTGACTAGACTACACAGGCTGTAACTGACAGAAGAAATATTGATTTTTGGTTGCAGCACACTAAATAACCCATACTTAGTTAATATGCGTCCATGCACCAATGAGAAAATTTTGACCTTCACCTACAAAATGGCATATTTGTACATCTTTGCACTGAATCTGATCCAGATCAAAGAACCCATACAGAAAATTATGTAGAATTACAAAACGAACTACTTTCGTAGCAACTGCTTAAAGGTGAAAGCCAATGAAGAAATAGGCATCCAGACTATTTATATTAAATCCAGGCAACAAAAAGCTAAATAAAGGTGTATGTGATTCCAACTTCATCCTTAGTTTCTGGATGTAGGTCAAGCAAAAGTGAAACATCCTGCATTTAATCATAAAATTACTCCCAGATTTTGGCACAGCTTGTTGTAGCGCCACCAATCCCCAGTTCTATATATCAACAGAGCCGATATATATGAGCATTAGATCAGTACTGTCAGGTAAATTTTGCTAGCACCAGATTTGAGCTGCATGCAGTCACTTCATAGCAAGAGACCAACCTTGATACCATTATTGTTATTCAGAGTTATTACCTAACCTATGTTTAGGTTATTGATGAAGCTATTTTTGTTGAATAGTGCAGCATATGTACCAGTCACAACAGTGAATAGTAGAACCCAGGAAGAGTGAACTGCACTCACAAGTGCCACCATTTGTAAACTATTCTGCTCACAATTTCACCTCTGAAGCTACCTGGCTGCCTGTGCAAGTGCAGGTTTCCAGAAAGCTGCAACTACACAGGAATGTACATGTGCCAAGAGCAACATCTAATTTAACAACCCAGTTCACAATCTGCAGGGAAACCCCATGGAAGCTTATGAAATATGTAATGATCATATCAGGTCTGGAAAAGGATGTAATTACACATCTGCCCAGAGGAATAACACTTCTCTGTTTATCAAGATATTATTTCGGGTGGGTGTTGGGCAATCTATGATCTAACTTATCAATGTTTCTTTCCTCAAACAGAACTAAAAAAATAAACTAGGTAAAACAACAACAAGAAATTTTTGGAATACAGGACACTGCTATCTGTAATCTTGATCACAAATGGTGGGAAGGAGTAGCTACGATCTAGCTGATCTTTAACGGAGATAAGCAAACCCAAAGTCAAGACTTCTAACAGAAACAAGCATTATTTACATTGCTCTCTACCTCAGCTTCAATTTCTTGTAGACCATCTTTACACATAGGTATGTTTGGTTCATTTTGAATGTCTTAGCTTCAATAAACCTTCCATTAATTTTTGGGATCAAGAGGCCATCCATAGTAAGGGTGTGAGGTACTTAATGGGTGATTAACTAATGCACTAAAAACAGCTCACTGCAAAACATCACAGACATGTTTCAATACCTGGTCTAACAAGAACTTCTTTTTAAAAATGATACAGAATTTTGCTTCATCACTCCTATGATGCTATCAAGAAAAGTGCCTTCAGAATATTTTTCTATTCTGTTATTAACAAATAAATAAGCATGACTCGATCATTATACTGAAGAAAATTCTATGCTACTCTTTATTAAATAAGTAACGTGAGTCCTATTATGATAAGCAGAATTTTGCTTCAAATACCTAAGATCCTATCATGAAAACTGCTTTTAAAAATATTTTTCTATTTTGTTATCAACAACCTAATAAATTGGCCTCAATTATTATACTGTATAAAATTCTGTGCTACTTTTTATAACTCTTTATCAAAAAACTAATATGAGCCCTATTATGATATTTGGGAGGCTATAAAGAATATAAGTGTGTTTTAAATATGTTGTCTCATGACAACACTATGATTCTTATGCTATTTTTATACTTTAGCCAACATACAGAATTGCTATCCCTCCTACATCTTCCTGTTTAAAAAGAACAATGAAATTTTATATCCTTTCCTTTGAAATGTTAGAACACTTAGGTGTTCTTCATACATGTTCTTGTTGACTTTATTCACATGTTGACTATTTGCTGTATATCTTGTAGTCTTTTATTAGCCATCATGTCTTTCATCTCGCCTTCACATACACCAATTTTTAAGTAACTTCCTGTTAACTTTCAAGGGAGTTCTCAACTTATGGTTTCCTATAAAACATGATTCATTTTAACATCAATGTGTGTCAGAAGGCTTAAGATGCAGCAGTGCTGACAAACTACATCCTTTTCTTTGTGAACACAGATAGAAAATACTTCCAATGCAAATAATGTCCAAATGTAAATTAAATACATGCAAACTTCATGAATCATGCCCCTTACTCAAAAAGTATTGAATTGCAATGTAATAGCATCGTGTTTTTTTTTCCTGTTTTGGTTCCACTTCAACTATTCTAAGATCAATTTCAACAAACAAATGCCTACTAAATAAGAGTTCATCTTAAACAGATCATTCATTTCTCTAAATCAAATTACTTTTAAATATTTCATTAAAAAACTTCAATTTAATGTCATAAGGTTGCAATGATGTTTATTTGCCATCTCTAGCCACTTAAACCTTCTTTTGCGTGATTTTTGTCATAACAAGCATCTTCTGCATAATCTTGATTTTCAGATAAATCTAAAACTAATGCAACTGAAATGTTTTAAACTGTGCTTGTCAAATTTAACATGACTCAAAGTAATTTTTCAGATCTTGAGTTTTAATTATTTCTAAATTGGGGGCGGAGATGGTGTGGCCAAAAATGAAAGACCATTAATTCAGAGAAAGGAAGTGGACTTTGAGATGGTCCCTTAACAAATACTTCTCTCACATGAAATTTACGAATGTCAGACAAATGTCCCAAGTTCTCAGATTTACAAAAAAAAAGTGAGCATATCTTAAATGAAACATACAATTTGCCAAGGTTTTAACTGATGATATCCGAAATCATTTTTAGGATTTTTAAAGTTCTTCTGAAAGTATAGACAATTCAAAGTATTTACAATTATTTTGCTAGTTAGTTAAGTGTAAATAAACAAGAACTACCAGTATGGCAATGGTCCATTCTGAATAAATCAATTATAAATACTAATTATTTACAAGGGGTCTAAATGGGTGCATTTTCACAGTGCTGGATAGAGTTCCTGGATCCGAGTGGTCTACTGTTCCCAGTTTAGTTATCTTTACTTTTGGGATCCCCCATGAAGTCAGAAGCTTTATGTTCTGAAGACACCAGTGCTGAGAAGTCCAATAAAGCTAAACTTTCTTTCAATATTTTTTTCTGAAGAGGTCAAGTGGTTTCTGTGCAAATATGCATAGTATAGTTTCTATAAGGAATAGTTACACACCAAAGACTGGTAAATATTTAATCTTTCATATTTAAGGCCACAAGATCTGGTAGATTTTTAGCCAGGGTAGAAACTCATGAAATGTACTGATGCAAATGTTAGTGAAAAACGAGGGTTATTTCTCACTGTTTTGACATGTCAAGGCTGTATCTAGGTTGAGCAGATGGGCCTCATCATAACCCACTACCCATCCATCATTTATTTCAAAGATAATGTAGGAAGCTGAGATAGGTCTGCAGCCACCCAGCAGGGAGTGGTATGTCAGTTTTCAACCTCTGGTATATAACAGGGCTTAAATATTGTTCAAGAATTATTTCAACTTAATTTCCATTTTCGATTATCGGATGTTACCTACTTTGTGTAACTCAAATGCAAATAAACCTCAATGTAATTTAAGTTACACAATGGATTATGATATATTTAAAAAAATTATGAAAAAAAACTCAAATAAGTAGACTGCTTAAAAAAAGACAACTAATAAATCTCAAATAAATAATTATTAAGGTATTTATAATTTGGAATGATTCACAGAAATCAAAATTATACACCATACAAAAATGTGTAATTTTCTGCCTACTACATTTTACATTAAAAATCTTACTCACATGAGGCCGTTTCCACTGAAAAGGGCGTGGGGGAGCGCGACTGTAGAAAATGGATTGGTTTATGGCTGGAAACTCTGGATCTTCAAACAGCCTCCCTTCTCTCAAACACTGCGCTTTTAATTCTTCGAAATTCTGCACGGTAGTTGCCCCGGTGGGGATGTCAGGCTTGACCACACCCGTGCTCCGAATGCAAGTAGCAGGGGCCTTTGGGCCCGGGGCGGCGGGTTTGTTTCCACCAGGATAACCGCCGCCGTGGTGAACGGGAACAGGACGAGGGCCTGGAGCCGGTCCGCTGTGCTTGAAGCCTGGCATATCTGGAAAACCGAAGTCCTCGAACCCTGGAAAGTCTGGAAAGCGATCTCCAATTCTGAACTGACCGCCTCCTCCGTCGCCTCCAATTGTAATGGTGCGGGTTTCAGTCTTGCCACCAGGCCCGCCGTAGCGATACGTAGTGGTCACTGTGCGATGTCCCGACGACATGATTGATGGGTTAATTAGCTGACCAGCTCTGAAACCATATAAATTATAAGGGCGTTAGTTGAAAATGCAGTCCCGCGCTCTATGTTGTCAAACCAAAGAGCTCTAATGCAAATTTTGATTCAAGATTTATTTATATTGTATTTACCAAGAACATCCGCCTACCTGCTTCTTACCTCTTCCTTACATACACTGACCGATGACAACCGGAAGCAAAATATACAGAAAGTAGGTCGAGCACATTCCAGGTGGGTTACGTAGCTATGTCATTACCCTAAAATGAAGCCAAAAGAGGTGGTTTATCGTGTTATTAGCCATGCACAAGCCTATACGAGGCAAACTGGCGCGTCGGTAATTGGAAAATATAGTCTAATAGTTCGCTGAATAGAGAAAACGTGATTTCGACTCTAAAACAGAATGGCTGGATTTGTAAAAAAAAAAATAATAAATAAATAAATAAATAATAAAAAATTTTTTTAAAAAATTAAAATTTGATAAGGGTATTTCACATTATGGATAGAAGGCTTTATAACATCTACATATAAGTAGTACTAACAAAATGAGTAACGTGAATGAGTACCTTTAGTTTCGGAAAAAAATATGCTAACAAAAGGCATAGGGGCAACTAATTGGCACAAAACACCATATCAAAATGTTTTTGATATTTTTGCCTTTAGGCATTTTGTCAAATAAAGGTCTACCTTTTTCATAAATTCATAATAACAGAAAAGATTTTCAGATCTCATTATATTCTTTTTCGTTTATTTATTTATTTATTTATTTATTTATTTATTTATTTATTTATTTTTATCTCACAATGATGCATAGCTGTCATATATGTCTATAGAAGCAGTCCTAAATTACTTTTATGAAGTTTAAAATGCTTTGAACAAAGCAAACAAAATTTGCCTTGTTTTTAGAAAATTACAACGCGTATACTCAGATTTTGTTTAGCAGGAAAGTACTTTTGGTGTGCACATATCAAAGTTCAAATCTGATTTCTGCCTTTTTGCTTTAATATATGTATAAGCTGCCCCCACCCCCATATTATTATTATTATTATTATTATTATTATTATTATTATTATATTTTTGAGGCTGCTCAGTTCTTGGAAGCCCCGCCTTTTGATTTGAAGCTCCACCTGAGATACAACCAGCTAAAGCCCTGCATATCATTTGACATTGTGTTAGATGTGAAAACTCGATGCGTTTTTCCTTGCACAGAGAGGTCATTCAGAGAAGATGCGAAATATCATAAATATCATCTTAAATGCGTTTGCATTCTTTTGGAAGCCTAATGGGAAATTGAAGCTTGTAAATTATGTAAAATAACATATGTTTTATAGATATTCTTCATCTTTTATTGGAAGGAAACATCTACACATGACCTAACTGCAAGGTGGAAATATCAATGGAATCATGAGCGTGATTTCAGAGTTAGTTTTCCTGGTAATTTTTCTCATCCTTGTTGTATAACTGAATATTCTTCTCATAACCTGCGCCTTCATTAACCAACATAACGGGTCAAAGCAGCTGATCAAGCATTAAGTTTTGGTTTCAGTCCAGTCTTGGTCACATATTCTGTTGAGAACACGGAAAAATACTTAGGCCGTTACAACTGGGACGTAAACGAGGCTAACTCAGCTCTAAGAATAACTCCAGGAAATCGATGCTTTGAAACCAATCGAATCTTCAACACACTCGGTTCAACACACTTGACATCACTTTGCCTTGGGCAAACTATGGCAAAAACCTGGTGTCTCATTTAATCTTACATGTCGTTTGGTCTTGATATTTGGAGGGTTTTTTATTTGACAAATTTATAAACCGTATTTAAACAATAGAAATATTTTTAAATGGGAATTAACTTGCGCTACTTAATCAAGTTGCGTTACTCTGTACTGTCACAATCAAGGTTTATATTCAAATGAGTCATTTTTAAATCGAAACAAAAACGTCATAACCAGCCTAAATATTCGGATATCAATTTTAAACTATGAAACACATGTATACTGCTTGCAAAAGATGAATTTATTTATTTCATTTCTTTTTCTTCTTTTATCAGACATTGTTCGGTAATGAAAATATAATTGTTGAATCATAGGTATTGTTTGCCGGCGAAATCAAGCGTTGTCCCGAAAATCCAAGTTACCTTTTTCACTGTCAATATTCATCCCATTTCGTTGACGGATATAACGAAACTCCACTGCAAGAAAAAAGTATTTATCTATTTATTTATCATTTATTCAGTAAGTGTTATTTGATAAAATGTAGTCTATAATATCCTTGTTCAAACATGAGATTAGCTGTGTAAATGATAGACACTGACGATTTGGCTGGTTGGAAGGAGAGGCACGGTCGATTTTCTCTAGAAGTTATTCCAAACACACCTCACATGCAACTGAACTACATTTATTTTAAAATAAACTGTAGGCACTTTCGTCAACCAAGCAATGAGTGGATACATGTTAGCCATTTTTCAGCTAAATAATTCCAAAAGTCATTACCATACCGGCGTACATGTATCTCTACTAAATCTAAACAAGATGGTAAGTTGAGGCAAAAACATGAGGTGGGTGGGTTTATAGATGGTAGTCAACACGCCTCCTCTTGGCGTTGAGTAGAATGCAGAAAGGCTGGTGTTTAAGCTTGGTAAATCAGGCGGTGGCGCGTTTATCTGTTTGCATTCAGAGAGAGTCCCCGCATAGTTGGGCCGATCTACATAGAACGATATTTTCATTAGGAATGCGCCCAATAGCTGACATCACGGGGTGACCAGAGCGTGCCGACAGGTCCATTACCCACCACGCGCCTTTTAGTGCTTACTTTAGTGCTGGGAGATAACATAGCGGGGTGGTACAATGAAGCGTTGTTTTTAATTAAGTTAAACTTCATTGTAGTAAACCTGGTTCAAGTTGAAGATACTCCCTTATCTCTTTCTTTACCCCCCTCTCCATCTCACTGTCTCTTTTCTTGACGGGGTTGAGTGCTCGCTCTGAGTGTCACTTATTGGTTAGTGTTTTTCTACTAGTGTACGAGACGACGCTCTGAAGTAGTGTCTCATCTTTTTATATGCAAAAATGTTTTAATATCATAAGTGGATATTTCCACATTCTATTTGGGAAAAATATGCGGGTGCCCTTGACTGTCGCTTCTAACGCATTCCCTTAAAATAAAAACCATATGGAAATATTAGGACATACCATCCATCAACCGCATCTGTCATAACAAAAGTCATGCGATGATGAAATAACGCAGTGGAATTTAAACTAATAAAAGGAAGCTAATGTAATGTGCTTTTAACATGTTTAAAAGTATTTGGCAAACCTTGTTTTGAACTTTGGTTGCGCTTTGATATTTAGAATTTTACAAAACAAAACAAACAAAAAAATGGATATGATATTCCAGTTCTATTCACGGACTGGTCTGGGTGGTGTTGTGTAATATACTTGGCAAGCATACATGAAAGGAAAGATGAAAAGACAGATGGGCACCAAGTCCTTTTCTGTAATTGATAAGCTTCAGTCAGGTAATTTTAGCTTTAGATACAAAACAAGTATCTTAGTCACCTATCAGCATTTCTAATCTTAATGTTGGCCTTTAGGCTTGCTCTGAAAACAAGGAGCAAGTCGCCATTACAATATGCAGTCATCTACGACGTGCCGATGCCCCAAAGTGAGCGACTTATTTGTGTATATGCCATGTCTTGGGTTTCACAGTATCTGTACTTAGGAAAGAGCCAATGCACCATCTGATACTGGTTTCCTAAAACACTTACTCCTCAGTCTCCGTTTCCTTATCAAATACTGACATCCAAGTCACATTTTGGCTACCAGATACGGACTCTCTCTCTCTCTTTCTGACTGATATACACTCTCCATTCATTTTATTACAGTTGTGGAGAGTAGACTATAATTTCGTTTAACCTAAAGCATCATTACCTGTAAGCAAAAATTATTCACCTTGGGGTTAAAAAAAGAATATTGAAAATATTGTTCGTGTTCATGTAGTATCTAATCGCATCTATCAAAACAACAGGAGGGTGTTTGATATTCTGATATAATCTATCTGAAGTTATTTACCATGAAGAAATCACCTCACCCGATTTGTTAACAATAAAATTTTTAGATAATCAGTTGAGGCTTGAGCGATAAACTGATTGCACGGACAATTAGATAAAAAAAAAGACATCGTTTTAGTTGAATTTAGCTAGGAAATAGGGTTTCTGATACTTCTTTGTTCTCTTTTGGATTATTTGGACACTTTCAATAATCAACTGTGATAATTTATTTCATCATTTTTCTTGACAAAATTGATCAAAACGGCAGATTTTATAGATTTTAAAACATAAACCGTAACCAACAGTTAAAATAACTTTTGCGAAAAAGGATATAATGCTAGCAATTTTTTTGCAAGCACGTGTGTCTAATGATTAAGATTACAGACCTTACAACCCTTAAGAGTAATTATAGAATAACATATGATAACCCAAGAAATTACATATTTAATTCTAATTCCTTGCATGACGTTGTTGTAAAATGGAGAAAATTTAATGTCCTTCGCTTAGAAGGGGAAGACATCCCACAATAGAGCAGTCATAATCAGATAAGAAAAGACTTTGACTTTGACTTTGATAGACTTAGACTTTGATATTCGGCATTCTGTTGTATTTCAAAGTGCCAAATTTCTTGATTTTTATCACTATATATGTATAAACCAAAATTAAGACAAAATTAATATTTTACCCTCGGATTTTGTACGAATTTTCCCTTTTTTTAGTGAGCACATTGGATCGGGTACCAAAAAAGAAAGTGTGCGAATCGTTCATTATATACAGGCCTTTTTTTTTTTTTCTCGTTTCCGGCACTTTTTTTGTTCAATGTCGGCTTCACCCGATTCATTTATTATGAACACCACATCCAAACGCATTTCGGAATATATTTTTTTAACTAATATATCACCATCTTTTATCTACCAGTATACGCCTCCTTGTGTGATAACATTTTAAGCGAATGGATTTGTAATGTTTCTGACACTGCATATTTTAGTGTGAATGGTTATCACTCACAAATTCCCTTTTGTATTGAGAGAAAACAGATCTCCCCTTTGCTTCTGAGCAATGGTTATTTAATTAGACGATGAACATTTTACAAGTTGAATTATTTAAACGGATCCTCGTACGTGAATATATCATTATTGCACAAAATCACCCTCGTCCAAATATCAAACAGGTCAAACATCCAGATAATTGGACGGGGCAAATATAAAGAAATGGGCGGTAAATAGACGTCATGCTCCATATGTCGTGCAGCGAGATCATCCGTTGTCTTTATCTACCAGTCTCGCCTGTGAAACCAGCCTATCTTATTACAGCTGCAAGAGACAGTGAAGGAATTAATCACAGGCGGGAGGCAGACTAAGTGAGTGGAAGGCCAAGTGACACAACAGCACCGTACCTTGCTGTCACAGATCACTCACAGCATCAAGCTCGCTCACTCGGCCTGGAGTTGAGAGGATCTCACGATTCCAGCACTGTCGGAATTTATCAGAAAGAAGGAGGTTGATCAATTTTACCTAGTAGGCTACCTTACAGGGTGAGTTATTTTTTAGAAGTGTGATAGATTTCTAGCGTCATCGGGGGATATAAGTGCTTTCATTTCTGGTTATATTTTCACCGGCCATCATTTCAAGAGTTTGACATCCGGCTCGGCATACACGCTGGCCTGGGGCCGGCCGGCTGCTGTTTACAACACTTTCCATTGAGTTATTCAAGAAATCATTACTGTTTTATGCAACACAGAGAAGAAGAGGTTATTTTGATCAAGAGTGAACGTCAATGAAGGATGTCTGCCTGTAAAGTTGTTTAGAGCCTAGGCAATATGGAGTTCATTTGAATATTTATCACAGGCTTTATTATATGAATTCTTGCATATAGCTGGCAGTGAAAAATGCAAATGTTGCCGTTTGACATTTCAAAATTCAGATAGCGTGCAGGCTTAAAATACCTGCGCTAGATTTCCTATTTTACTCCTAAGTGATGGCATTAAAGTGCAAACTGAATGTCTGACTAAAGTTTTTTTTAGTTACCAAAACTAGTTTTGTTTTTAAATGGGGGCCTAGCATATCTAAGAAGAGCACAACTGAGGCCTGAGACTTGCCTAAACTAATGGACTACAGGCACTAAATACTAAATGAGATCTTGATTGTATTTTAAAACATGCATATCTGTTATGCTGAACTTCAGATTCATTTGCATTTTTCATTAATCTAAAACACTGTATTATCCAATAGATCCTTTTAATTCATGCCCAAATTCAAGCCCATTTTTTACTTTTAATATCTGGTCTCAAGCTCAACACTTTTTACAACTGATAATGTTATATTTTCAAGAAGCTTAGTTGTTAACATTTTGTGTGCATGTTGTTAGTCTTTATTGTTTTTTTTTAGTCAGAAAGTTCACTGGTTTCAAACTTTAATATTTGTTTTGAGGTTCACTAGGTCCAAGGTGCAGTAGAAATTAGACATAAGAAAAATATTCAAAGCAAAAATGTTATGAAAAGTGATGCAGACAGAACAATGTCTTAGGTTAACTTTTGGACCAACAAACTTGTGACTAACAAACCTTGAGAATTTTGGGGCATCCCTAATACTAGTGTACCTATATTTTTTCTTGCTCTTTTACAGTGTCAACAATTCCCTTTAGCTGTAGATTGATTTGGTTGATTTTAGTGAAAGGTAATTTTGAGGGGGATGGGGGCAAGGTTAAATATTTCCAAGACTATCCTTTACAACACAGCGACCTGCTGGAATGTGTTTTGTCATCCTCTCTCTCTCTTTTCATTACTCACACAGCTTTGAAAGATAAGAATAAGGCAATACTTTTAAAAGAAATTTAGCTATTGATGCAGAGTTCATGGGACTGATAATTGGTTACATTAAAAAAAGAAAAAAAACAGGTGCAGAGGCATATGTGCTTCTGAAGTTGTAAGGCTGTAAACTTCTTTGGTTTGAAAACATTTTCAAGTATGCATAGAAAAGATGGAATTTTGCCTTATTTGGTACATGTTATATATTGTTTTAGTCAGGAGGAATTCGGTAAAAGTAGGCTAAATATTTCTAAGACCATCCTTTTCCAAACAGTGGCTTGCTGGAATGCCTCTTGTCATCCTGCTTCTTCCTGTTCAGCATTTGTAGTTAGGGCTAATCCATATTAAGGCAATAGTTTTAAAAGAAATTAGCTTATGATATAATTGTTTGTGGGACTGATAATTGGTCATGTAAAAAATACAGGTGCACTGTACAGGTGCAACAGTAGTAGGATAGTGTAAGTATATACCTGATTCTCAGTGCTGAAAAAGCAGCATGCTTAAAAAGCAGCAAATGTTAAATACCAATCATGCACATAAAAGACTAAAGACGTGCCTTATTTAATGAATGCTGTATTAAGTCTCACTTTCCGTTTGATATTTAAGTAACTAGCCTCTCAGTGTATTGAACTATAGGCTAGCATTGAATGAAAGTTGATGATGAAATGTTTATGACATTACTCAACATGTAGGATATTGATATTCACATTTAGACCCAGGATGTTGATTGGGGGGGGGGGGGGAAGCCAAAGGTAGTTGTTAGAAAGGAAGAATGTTTCTCTTGTGTCACCCCCTATGTCTGCCCATGAATACACAACCCATTATTTTCCCATGACCTGGATTATTCGTAAAATGAATGACTGTCACATGAACTCCTAGTTTGTGGAGAAGATTATGTTAACAGTGTGATAGGACCTACCACTGTAGACTGAGGCCATTTATGATTCATACCTTGGATTGGAATTTTTGAATAGGAAGGAGGGTGAGTAAACCAAAGAAAAGGCTCATTCATTTAGGGTTGGGTATATCTGCAATGTTCGGGTCTATTCAAACCAGTATTCTTTAAAACCAGAAATTAGCCTAATCCACATTAGATTGTCAGAAAATGTGGCTGTCTGACAGTGGAAGTGAAGCCAATTTCCAGTCAAAAGTAGCCCCATGTGAACAGCCTCACAGAAGACTCCCTAATGCTCTAATGACTGATGTATTCAGTATTCTCAGTATGCTGCTCCAATAGATTAACAGCTGATAAAACACATGGGGAATTTGCATACTGTGATGAGCAGACAGAACACCCATTTAGCTGTATTACATTCTTGTATAGAGGAGTACTGCCACAGTACAATATGTGCTTGCATATGTGTCCCTAAGTGGATCACTGAAGGCCAAGCATTGCATCTATTATACAAATGATTCACGATAATTATCATTAATTTTTCTCTGTTACTCAATGGTCAAGTGTGTCAAGAAATGAAGAAGATATGTGACAAGATGAATAAATTTTCAATATTAAAACACAATCAGTTCTTCAGTCATATGATAAAATCATGTGCCTTGCTACTATTGGTAGATTTTTTTGTTATTATTTCAACGTATTTTGTATGGTTTAAATAAAAACTATATGGAAGTTATTTAAAAATCGGCAACATAGAATAAATAGATGTAACATTTTGTGGAAATGTTGTAAAAAATATAACATCATAACTAATAAGTTGTACGTGGCAACCAGCATGGATCATTCACAATTTATTTGAGGTCATCAAGCTGTAGCAATTGCACAAAAGGTCTTTGCTTACATCATAATTAGTAAGTCTAATAATAATTTTTTTCAAGGTATATATATATATATCTCCAGGTGTCTCATATTTACCTGTATTACTTTTGAACCAAAATGTCTCAATACAGCACAATCTAGTTAACAATAACTTGTTCAGGTACATGATTTTATCTTTTGTATGGGGATAATTAATTTTCCATACATTCTCCTTTTGTATTTTTACACAGACAGTTGTAAGAATCTTAATTGGATGTTCCTACTTTCAAGTGTGTATAAATTCCAGTGAAAGCACTGATTTAGAACAAGCATAAAAAATGGCCCTTCATATAAATCCTTGTATTATATAATTTTCTGTGTAGTCCAGCCAGGGCTTAAATAGCTCCACATACCATATAAAAGGGTGACTTATCAGTGTATCTGGCTAGCCTAATGAGCCAGGGGTGGTGACTGGTTAGTAAGAACATTCCAGCTAGCCAGTCATGCATGCAGCATGGAAAGACAACAGGTATCTTATAGTGGCAAGACATGTTAATGATACCTTTTCAAGCAGACTCACTATTGTATTATGGAAATCCTGAATATTGACTTGAGAACCTTGGTGCCAGCTTACTGGACATGTAGCTGTAGACAGCCAACCATTTTGGTGGTCAAATATTCTCTGTTCATGGTGTAAGACCTATATCAGTCCTTATGATATGAGTTAAACAGATTCCACAGGGTTTGAACTTCAGTTTTTATAGTGCTCCCCCTTCAGAAAAATAAGAGGAGGCGGTACAATAATTTAGGGGCATCTAAATTAATTGGATGGAATAGATTGATGTAATATGAAACAAATTTATTATTCGTTCTACAGAAGCACACATTGCCACTGAGTGAGATTCATGCAAATCCACCTTGTCGACACACTAAAATGTTAATGGGCACTTGGGAAAAGAATGTATTTTGTGGTCAGCCTATGTATGGCCTGAGTGTAAGCCTCTGCTGACTGGCAGTGATTTCCTGGTGTTTCATCAAGAAATCAATATCAATTTTTTTCAGTCTCCTTGCCAAGTGGAGCTTCAGAGGACGGAATGTTTGAGTTAACATGGAGCATGTTTTCAAAATAGCAGACATGTGTGCATTAGCAAAAGAAATAACCTGGGAATTTAGACAACATTTCTTTATCACATATTTTAAACTGTTGAGAAAAATATGATCTATAAAACAAACCTGATGGCTTGAGAAGCTCTAAATTTTCTGTGAATTTCACCTTTTTCTATCTCCAAAGTGAGATGACTCAAAAATTAGGAACCTAGAACTAAAACAGGTTTACGGATTGTAGTTTTTTCATAAGATTTGGTATGGTGTATCTTGGGAATTAATAGAGTGGACAAGTGTTGAACTTACAAAAAAAAAAAAAAAAAAAAAAAAATCCTAATAATATTATTATTTTTATTTCTTTATTTTTTGCTACATAATGGTAGATAATGCTTGCTCATTGTGTGGCTTTTAATAGGCTTTTGCACTAATCCCAAAATTGATGTAAAAGTGGGGAAAGAGAACGATGTTTGCCACCTATTGTATCTAAATGCCCTTGGCTGTATAATAGACTGTATACTTACCATAGTATAGACTATAATAGACTATATACTGTACTCACCCAGGAACCACCCCCTATGAATTCTGAAACGTGTACAGTTAACATCTTGGGATCATTTTTCAGTGGGGCATAAATGTTTTCCTTTGTCAGGTCTTGTTAAAGGGAGAATTGACATTGCAATGAATGTTAAAGCATGAATGTGGTCTTTGGCATGGTCTTACATAATTTTGATTGTCTGCCACGTGCTTAAAATCTCATTGTCTTTTTATGCAGGATTTTAATTTTTTGGCAATTTTATGTACATCTTCATTTCATTTTATCGTCACAGGTGTTTGTCGGAGTCTCCATGACAATTTCAATTATGGCTTTGTAGATGCTACATTTCCAAATGAGATCAAGTTCAGCAGACACTTTGTGTTTACCTGATATGGGCAGTTTACGCTGTCAAAAGGGCAAATGATAACTCACTTCCATGCTTTGAATACAGAATTAAATAAAGGGAAACATTTGGCAGTGTCCTAGTGGCCGATAGCCCTTAATTTTGGGTTATGTGTGCCTCTGTTTGGTCAAGTCTCTTGCACACCAGTGAATATTTATATATTTAATTGGAAATAAGTGTGGTAGAGACTGCATATTTGGACTAGATCATGGGGTGTAGGGCTGTGATTAAAATTGAGTAGGACTGAAATGAATGGTTAAGTTTCCTGATGACAGAGAGAGAGATTGGTATAAGAAAGAATTAAAACAATTTTGTGATCAATATAAATGTTTTTGATCATTTAGACCGATTTGAGTTATTGCAATTGTTTTGATTTTAAGGTTTTTGAGTGTGTGGACAATGTTCCCCCTAACAATTGTAAATGAAAGCATGAAAACTCAAATGATATTTAGATGAGAAAATTTACTGAAGTGTTGGATGGTTTAAGAAGTCGGAATATAGCTACTATTTTTGTTGATAATCCAATATTTCTAACAGGGTTTGTTGTAAAAAGAATTCAGAACATTTTATCAGATTGATTTATCTTATTATTTGTATTGTTAATGTTGATAAGTTTGATTAGGTAAATCAAGTAAGTACTTTGGCACAACATACTTATTTGTAATATATTTAAATTATCTTGAGATAGTCAGTGTACTAGTGTTTGGTTTTCTTATTGTCTGTTAAGCAAGGTATCCATTAACCTGAATGGAAAAAACCCTATGATATCGGAGATAAAACTGAAATACCATGATAACTATAATTGTAATATTGGAGATAAAACTGTGATAATTTTAACTATGATATAAAACCAATATTATTGGAGATAGCACTGTGATAATTTTAACTGCAATAACGATACTGATGCTTAGTAGAGGTTTGACCACACATAAACTGGATTCTTATTTTTTTTACCTTTTAGTTACTAGATTTTCCAAGGTAGTCATCACAAGATGGGCAACAAATCTGGTAAAGCGAGTATCACAGAGCCTGTAGCTGCGGATGGCTCAGGAAACACTGAAAGTAACAAGAAGGCAAAGAAGGAAAGAAAACACTCTAAGAAGGGTGGCAATGCTGAGAATGAGAATGGTGGGGTGCAGGAAATATCATTGGAGAGAAAAGGAGAAGGTGACCAAACAGAAGACAAAGAACAGGTATGCAAATGTGAAAAAGAATTTGAAGGAATCACTTTCAAAAAATCAGAAGTATATTATTTTAATAATGAGGTCATGATTAAAATCATTGGCCTTATTCCCATAAAGTTACCAACGGTCTATGTGGATCGACCCAACTGTGCGGGGACTCTCACTAAGTGCAATCAGCTTAAGTGACACACCTTTCTTCTTCCTACTTTCATAATCACTAGCTTTTTTGTATTTTAGTCTGTTAAGCTGATTGCGCTCATTGAGAATCCCCAGAGAGTATCCATAGTTTTATTTACATTGCCTGTCTATGTGGAGGGTGGCAATGCAGCCAATACGTATTTGACAGTTTTGACAGCATTGGTTACCTTCCAGAACTTTCTGTGTGCAAATGTGACTTGTACATCAATGTACTGCCAATGTAAACTTGGATTTGATCAAGAGCTAAGTCTTTGTCTACTGCTTCTGAACTTGTTGGGACTCTCAGTGAAGTATTACATGTAAGCACTGGCATTATGCATTTGGTGACCACATTTTCGTTCTGTCTGACTTGGAATTGGAGGGTAAGGGGTATATTTCTATATATTTGGAGCCGTTAAATGCCTTACACTGGACACCAAAAGGGCTAAAGAACAGGTGGTGTTTGATCACTTTAGTCTTTCCTTCTGCATTACCAATGAAATAGTTTCATAAATTCTAAAAAGTATGAGGCAGCATTTTTACATTACATCATGTTTAAGAGTTGAAATCCTCTGAAATCAGAGATGCCAAGCCTGCAGTTTCACCATTGGCTTGTAGCTAGGCAGCTTTCGATTTTGAACAATTACTGCCACACCACGATCCACTACTCCATCTCCAGAAAAAAGAAGAAACAGTGTCCAGTAACTCCTTTTGTTGCAATTTAAAAACCTGGCCTTTTCAGGTGACTGTGGTATTCATGATTTAAAATGGTTTATATTGATGATGTAGGAGTTTCCTTACTGGATGGAAAAGTTGAAATCTGCATTTTGTCATTATAAGGGACTGACTCGATACATATTTAAAAAAGATATGAATGTAGTTTACTTGGCCTAAAGTGAAGGTTGATTTAGGATGTTGACGAGATTTGTAGCATGCACACATTTTGTCACTGCCTTTCACAAACTTAATAGGGCATTGTCATATGCATCCATATATATATGCATTTATTATGGTTAGTGACATGCAGAGTAAAACTTGGATGTCAGAAAGACAAAACTTCCATTTAGACCATATATATAAGATTAATCTGTGTTTGAAATTTCTTTCTGCATCCTAATTTCATAATCTCCAAAAATTTTAGGGATTTGATTTGCATATAGCAGTGAAAATTGTAGTTTGAACTAATCCTTATGAAAGTAATATCATGTAATGCTCTTCAGTCTTAATCATGGTAAGCATATACCTTCAAGTAGCATTTCTTTACAGACCAGAAATTTTAAAGAAGGATTCTTTTTCCATTAAAGTGGAACTTTTTATCCCCTTATTTGTTCCAACTTGATATAGAACCTATGCAATTGTGATTCAGAATGTAACTTTTCGGACCAAAAGGGGGTACTTTGAAAAGTTATCAGTAAAACCCACTATTAACCACCCTATCCTACCTATAGGCCTGCATCTGTAATATTCAATACATTGCCCTTTTTTTTTTACCTGACATGATCATGTGTCACAAATTACAAGTTTGCTGTTCTAAATGTTACAGTGATGTATGTAACCCAGTAGGTGATGCATACTCACTGGCCTTTAAATATAAGGTATTAAAAAATAATAATAATGGCCAAATGTTAGTTGTTTTTGGTTGATGTTATTTCTCCTTAAAAAATGATGTATGGTTAAGAATTTGAAGCAATTCAGAAAGCTTTCAAAGGAAACTTGCGGGCACATGATTGATCAACATATCTTATGAGTAAGAACTGAAATATTTTAAGTGGAAATATTGGTGACCACAAAATTTTCAGGCCCATTTGAAGTTGCTTCCTGCTTTATCCTCTACTGAGCCAAGAAAGGTGCAGTTTATATACAGGGACCCCTGTGTATACCTGTAGCCATCACCTGCATATGTCTGCACTATATCCATATAAGCAACATGCAACCTTGTTCCAAATGTTCAGCTTTTTGGTGATACTAGTATTTCGCATGTATTCATCTACATGAGGATCTCTCTGAATGTCTGATTTGCAGGTTAATTTCTTATATTATTATAAATGTTTGAACAGATGTAGGTTGTTGCCAATTTAGTCACAATTGAATGGTATTGCTGGTTCATGTACATAAAGTAACTTCCTATTCTATGAGCTAGAGCGTACAAAAAAATCAAACTTAACTTATGGGTTGAAGTCTACATTGAGATAGTGTTTTACTGATCTGCCAAGTTATGATGTACGTTATGTTACCTTTCTTTGTAGAACAACAAAATTATGAAATATAGATAAAAGCAGTTTGGAATGATATTATATAATTTCCCATGATTCTCTTTCTGTCAAAGTTGTTTAGATGGAATACAAAAGTCAAAAGTTATGCAGCTAACTAGGCCAAGGACTTGTAGTCACGCCAACATCACATCTTAGCTTTAATCTCCCTGGCCAAATGGCCATATCCTTGTTAGGTCTATGTTAGCAGACAGATTTGCTCACAAGAAAACAATTTGACTGAATTTTTTATGACCTGTCCCATGACTCCTTTCATACAGCAGCCAAAAATGAACCCTTAATACATAATGAATGTTACTGTAGATATGTCCTTGTGAAACAAACACTGACTGGAAACCTCATGATTCAGTGCACTTGAAGGTAGATATGAGTTATACTTCCTGGGCTGATTATTGGAGTTCCTCAGGAGAGTATATGAGTGAGGCATCGGATCCCTGCCCAGGTGGATTAGATTGTTTGACTCATATCTTGTTGATTGCATTTTTTTTTTTTTGCAAATTTTAAGATTTATAAGCATCATAAAATAATAGCATATGATAAGAGAACTACTTCCCAATCCCCTCATGTTATTCCAGTTTTAACAAATTAAAACTGAACATTTAAAGAATAATTGTTTTGTTTACTCTATATATTCATGAGACCCATTGTAAAAAAAGTCTTCTGTTGGACTCTGTTAGTTGTTGGTTATGTCATCCCTTCTGCTCTGCATAACACTTCAGTGACCACAGCTTGTCCAAGTGTGTCTCAGTTTAGTCTGTCATTTTTGCAGTTTTGATTAGTTATTATTGAAATATATAATACAAAAAGGAAATTGAGAAATGTCACTTTACCAGTAAATGTAATATTTTGAGGACAGCAGGGTAATATTTTGTGGATGTTAACGTCGTTAACAGATTCCTGTGATTGCCATTTAATTACTGCACCGAGTTAACACTATACAATATGAGGTGTCAGCCAACCACACTAGTACTAAATAAGGACAGGTTTGACCCACAAAAAAACAGAAGGAAGTCCCTCTTGAGGCATGTTAAATGTAAGTCTTGTATACACATTACTCAATAAATGGACTTTTTATTCTGTTTTATTTTATGTGCAAAGAATTCATCTTAGTTTTGATTGGACATTATTTTTTTCCTTAATGACAGTGTTATGTTTTTCTTCTCAAATGCTACCATGGCTAAACTATCAAATGTTGTGTTTGTCAATATTAAACAGGAATTGCTTGCATTGAAATATGATACCAGTCATGGAAGCTCTTAATGGTGGGAAATGGCAAAGTTTTCAGCTTAGCCGACTAATTTGAAAATTGTCATATTAAAGGAAAAAAACTTTAATGTAGACCTTGTTTTGAGTGATTCTAATAGATAGTTAACACTATACTATTATATGAGTGATTCTATTAGATAGTTAACCGTATACTATTATAGTCATTATCATAAGGAAAAAATTGAAGAATTAAAAAATCAATCAACAATTACAGTTGTTCATGAATAGGCATTCCTACTGAAAACCACCAACATGACAGTTGATAAAAATACCCTTAAATGTAGCTATTTCTGCTAATTATTATTAAGTGATTTTTGGACATTGCCTTTATTTATAGCTTATTTTCAAGGTCAAGTGTTTATATTGGCTACTTTTAAGATGTTAGTGTGCATTTTACCATAGCTCTTGGTTAACATGAATTCTTACTGCTTGGGGTCATACTAAGTGGCAGCTCATTTAACTTTTAATTTCTAATTTTATTTATATTTGTGACTAATGATTAAAGGTTTGGTAATATGTTTTAAAAAATACAAGGTGTTATTATTTTTAAAATATGGTGTGGAGCTTTTATGGCCTTATTTGATGCTTGTTATTATTTTTATTCTTTGCTTGTAGGAAACAACTCCAAATGGTGATGCTAACAACTCAGAACTGGATAATGTGCAGGGTGTTGATCTAGATGAAATTGAACAAAAACAAACTGATAGCACACCAACAGAAAATGGTCCTGAGGAGGTTATAAGCACTGATAAAGAGGAAAAGGAAGTACAGAATTCTGAAACTGAAAAACAGGATGATGCAAAATCAGATAATGAAAGCCCAGTGGAAAAGGAACCTGAAACCCCAGAAGATGCACAGGTAGAAGAAGAAAAAGAGGAAACTATTGAAAAGAGTGAAAATAAACTAGAAAGTGATGCTGCTGATGTTACTGCTACTGCTGCTGAAGAGGAAAAGACTGAAGTGGAAGAAGAGCAGCCAGAAGAGCAACCAGAAAGTGCAACAATAGACACACCTGTAGTCGAGGAAACAGAAAAAGAGGTTAGTGAAAATGCAGAGAAAAAGAGTACTAACAAACAGAAGGATGGTTCAAAATCACCAGAGAAGAAGGGCTTTTGTTTTGGGGGGTGTCTTAAAGGCAGTTCATCAGCAGATCAACTTCAAAAGTTGGACGACAGTAAAAGTGAAGAAGTAAAAGATGAAGAGGGAAAAAATACAGAGAAGCCTGTTCCCTCTTTGGAAGGAGAAGAAAAAAGTGAAAGTAATAAAGTAGAGAATGAAGCAAATGTGGATACAGCTGGACAAGACAAGTTAGAACCAGTTCAACCAGAAGTAGTAGAACAGAAAGAAGAGACTACAGCAGAAGATGAAAAAACTACAGAGACTGCAGTAGAAGAAGAAAAGAATACAGAGACTGCAGTCGAAGAGAACAAGGTCAAAGAAGAGGCACCCACAGAGCAAACACAAGAGGAATTACCACCACCTGCTGAGCCAGTCACAGAGGGGGCAGCACCCATTGTAGTGGAGGAGAATCAGCAGCAAGAAATGCCCGAACCAACAGCACCTGCTTTGTCAGCTATAGTCTCAGAGTCAATCACAGCAGAGGAACAGAAAGGAGAGGTAAGTATTATTGTTCATACTGACACCCAGCTTGAGGCTGTGAAAGAGGGTGAACAAATGGGTGAAAAGGAGAAAGAAGTTCCAAAAGAAAATCTTGGTAAACCGGTAGCTGAGGCAGTGGTACCTGAAAAAGATATTGTTGATCAGGTACATGAGGAGGATGTACTGAAGGAAGATGTTGACAAACTTCAAGCAGAGGAACCAGACGAGGTAGCTGGTGATCAGAATTTTGTGTCTGAGGCACAAAGTGAAGTTGTTAAACAAGAGAGAGAAATACTAAAGGAAGATGACATGATACAGGTACCCGAGGCAGAGGAACCAAAAGGAGTTATTGACCAGAATTCTGAGACAGAGGAACCAAAAGAATCTATTGCTCATCTGGTAACTAAGACAGACACTCAAAATGATATTGTTGAACAGGCACAGCAGGAAGAGGTAGAAGATGTTGTGAAAGAGGCACCTGACACAGAGGAACTAAAAGATGATATTGTTGATGAGAAACCTGAGACAGAAGAACCAAAGGAAGATATTGAACCAAAAGAAGATATTGATCACCAGGTAACTGAAACAGAGCAGCCCAAAGAAAATTCCAAAGATGTACCAAATGTGGTGGAACCAGAGGAAGTCCATGAAAAATCCCCTGAGAAAGAGGCACTGAATGAAGATATTGTTGAACAGATACCTGAGTCAAAAACACTACAAGAAATGGTAGTCGAACAGGCACAAGAATCAGAAAAGCAAGAAGAGGAAATTGTTGGACAGGAACATTTACAAGGTGCACAGAAAGATCATGAAGAACAGATAGTTGATGTACAAGCAACAGATGAGAATGATGCTGAAGAGTCACTTAAACCAGAGGCAAAGGAAGAATGCCCTGAAGTAGAAGTAAAGATGCAACATGGTATTGAAAATGCTAACGTCACAGAACCCCCAAATGAGGAAGATGATAAAAATGCTTCAACTCCAAAAGAAGATGAGGAGCATCAGGTTCTTGAGCAAGAAGTTTCTGAAGGGGAAAAAGTCAAAGATGAACCACAGAAGGACAAGTCTCCCAAAGAATCAAAAGAGAGAAAACCTGAATTAGAAAATGAAACGAGAAATTTCCAATGAATCTGAAACTAAAATTGCACAACATGCTTCTCCAGCAGGTGTTATAGTGTCTAAAACTTTAGAAAATGAAGTTTCAGATAAAACACCAGCAGCCTTATCATCACCAGAGACTAAAGGAGGAAATGATGATCATCCATTGGTTGGCAAACCTGATGATTGTCCCTCAGAGGGAGCCACTAATCCAGATAATCCAGAGGTATGGTGAATGCTGTTGCAGTGCTGTGCCTGTAGAGACCTTCCTTGCTTGATGCTACTTTTTTTTTTTGCTCACTCGCTTGCTTGACTGAAGTAACCAATTCCTTTCTTTTTAAATTGTACCTCTCTATTTAATTAAGTTGACTGCTTAAAATAGCAAAAGGTTGATGATTGCTTCTGAGCCCTCAAACATTTATGTTTATGTCACAAATTACTGTTTATATTTAAAGATTATAAGGTGTCAAAATAATTTTAAACAGCTTTTCTGTATTTTTGTCAATTTTTGCAGAAATTACCTTGAGTGCCAGTTTACAGCTCTAAACTAGGTCCCTGATTTCTTAGTATGATTTAAAACTTCACTTGTTAAATGAGAAAAATTTTGATGTTAGAAAAATGAAAAAAAAGAAAAAAAAACTTACTCTCTACAGCTGTGTGATATGCTATTAAACAGTTGGTGAAATTAAGCAATCATAAGCTTTTTGTAACTTTATTTTCAAGCTATGATATTCAAATCAATAAAAAGAATTTTATGTACAGACACTGTGTGCTGTATATATATATATATATATACCACCTGAAAAGGCTGTCGTTGTTGCTGTCTCACTGCACTTACAATTTTTTTTTTTACTCCATATTTTCCAAAACAACCCGCCCTTTTATTGAAACTTGGTGTGCAAAATAAAACTATGATTTTACATAACCTTTGACTTAAAGGGAACTTGCTTGTCATCTGACATTGCTCACCTCAGATTTATAAAAGTATAGTAGAGGCAAATTTTTTTAAATCTATTTTTTGACTTGATTTAGAGTCCCATTGGGCCCAAGAACAAATTCAGCTACATTGTCTACTTTGACAACTTGAAATATCCAAGATGGCTACTATTTTCCATAAAAATATGCATCCTTACTTATACATAAGAAAACTTCTTCATCTTCGTCCATTTTGCTGTTTCTGCCCAAAATCTGATCTAGGCTTTTTGTACTCTTGATTCCAAATTCATAGATCTGTTTTAGCTGAAACTTCATGTACCCCTTAGTAAATAGTAATACCAATTTAAATCTGTGGCTTGTAAAGATCACTTTTGGAATGGGCCATTTTTTTTTTTTTTTTTTTTTTTTTGCAGGATCAGTTTCTGTACATTTGGCAGCTTTTGTTGCCTTACTGATTTTCAATAGTTACTAAAAGGGAAACTGTGGTGCATATAATCCAAAAGCACCTTGCATATAAACTCTGCCATAGTTCAATGCTCAATTTCCTGCTTTGATTATTTCTTAAGGTGACTATGGGTAACTAGTTCCATCAAATTTTGAGAGATTAGATGTGTATTACAGAATTTTCCTATATGCATGTTATATGAGTTTCTATATTATTCAACAGAACCTTGCACCTGTGCTCATAGAGAAATACCTCAGAGAAGTAATTAGAGAGGGATTTGTTCTTTCAGTATGTTTTGTACCACCAGCATTAAGTTGGATTTACCACGACTTCCTGTCTATGCATCCAATTGGTGTTGACATATCTTGTTTGTTCTGAAACTACCTGGTTTGGGACAAACAGTGCATTTTTGTGGGTTTTCAATTTTTATGAAAGTAAACTACATATTAATTGTTAAATTGATGCAAATATAAAAGAGATAAGAACATGAAATTGTTTTAATTGTAAGCTGCTGAATGAAGAAAAATTACTTTTTTCTTTTATCATACACAGCTTATGAAATTCTCCAATTGCCAGAAAAGTTGTTATTTATATTCTGTATTTATATCTGTATTTTTTTATATCACTGAAATGCTTTAATGTGGCTGGTGGTACATAGTCTGAAGGCAGCCTTTGCCTCTCTGAACTTGTAGTTGATTTTATTATGGAAGTACCAAGAATTTGACAATGAAAACTTGCACATTTGTCAAGCTTTTAGCATTATTGTTTATCTGACTTGAGTTGAATTGGGTCCTTACTGCATAATTGACCAGCTATGTTGATTTTAAAACAAATACACGTGTCAACCAAACTTCCACAGATTCTCATTACATTTCATTTGATAGGCTTAACATCACATTTTCATGAAAGAACAACTTTGCGTGTGTGATTTGTTAATGCATCTTCTCTGCTGAAGAATTTGTCTTCATAGACGGAAACAACCTGCGCCTCATCTACCGCTGTCTCAGTGTGACACTAATGGCTGACCTGTCAACCTTGGAGTCATGTTGGAGGAATCCTGGCATGAGGCATCCACATTTCCTGAACTAACCCTCTGCCTTACACTTATGAGATCTGTTCACATATAATTGCATCTGTGAAATTTAGCAAAATCTTCTTCCTTTAGACTTAAGACCTGTGCATACATAATAGCATTAGTGAATTTAATTAAAACATTCTTTATTAGACTATTTATATATTCTATAATGCAGAAGTAAAAATTATTGATATTTTAAGACACTTGAAATACACTTCTTTTTTGTGTCCCTATTACTTACATAAACATACTGTGGCAGATTCCGTACCCTATCCCATCCTATCCTGTCCCAATTTTAGCCCAAAATTGCTATATTTCAAAATATATATGGTGGATCCATCCACCCAAGAAAGAGAAAAAAACATTCTGGAACCAAAACTTGCAAAGAGAATACACTTCAGAAGTCCAGGCAAATTTTTATGAAACAATATTCTGGGATGCTTATCTTTCTTGGACCCCTGGGAATGACAAGTAGCCACAGAATTGGATTGGTGTATGCACTGCTGAAAACCTATGAACCTACATTATGTTTGATACTGGTGTTAACTATATATATATGCAGCTTATGAGAAGGGGGTCAAAAATGGTAGTTTTGAGTCTTTTGGGGGGCCTCCTTTCTGAAATCCATGGATCTGCCACTGTATAACCTGAAAATATTTAAACTCTGCAAGCAAAACCAGTCATATCTGTTAAATAAGTAAGAGACAAATGCGTAAAGAGACTGTTCTACAAATTCCCATTGTCATTTCTCTTATTGATGTTCAGATCAAGTTTTCTGAAGTGTTTGCTTTTTCTAATGCTTATCCAATGAGATGGTGAGGTCAATTTATAAAGCATGTTCTCCATTTTTCAGGATTCAGTTGAAGACGGTGCAAAAGAGGAAAATACCCAAGAAGAACCTCCAACAGAGGAAGAAGTTAGTCTCCATCTCTCTCTCTTTCTCTTTCTCTCTCTCAACATTTTACTTAATATTGCATGTAATGTATTCCGTTGAATAAATTTTGTATTCTTTTCAAGATTTTGTGTCCTCTATGATTTGTCCTTTCCCACTCAGCATATTCCAGCATATTCCTTTTGGTGAACAAAAAATGTAAAGAAATGTTTTCATGCTGACATGTTATTTCTTTGCCAGGTGAAGAATAGTCCAGATGAGCCAGAAACCCAGACAGAACAGTCCAAGGAAGAGGTAAAAAGCCTTTAACGTACAGACACTGCTCTAAATGTACATCATCATTCATCCCTATCAATTTAGACAAGTCCATGTCTGTTCTTTTTTTTACCTAATTTTTAACCAAATTTTGACTGCCTTGCTCAGTACTTCTTCAGGATAAACAAACTACCTTGACTCCTAGGACAGTTAGTTCATTTTCGTAGCTGTGTGAAATTTATCAAGGACTTTGTGTGTATCAGCCCCTGTAGGAACTAAAGAAAGGGTAAAATTGCATGGTCAATAAAAAGCAACTTAAGAAATTTGTGAAACATTATTGTGAAGTGTTTGTCTATTACAAAATGGAAGAACATTTAGAAAAAATTCATCTGCTAATTCCACATGATGGAATAAAAACATTTTACAAAGAGAACCTTTAAAGCCATGTGGCATTTCCATCACGTTCAGAGATTTTCACCAAAGTTATTTTTACATAGTTTTCCAAGCGGTAGGTTCATAGGAGAGGAAACATGTTGCAAACCTTTAACAGACAACCCTATGGGCAAGTTCTTATTAGTTTGGCAATGCCAAAATACACTCGCAAATTATTCAGAGCATAGACAACCAAGGATATAAAAAGTCAACAGAAATATGCTATGTTTCTTGTTTTAAAAGCATTTTAGCCAAGTAGAACATAATTTTTTTGTGATGGGACAGTTAGATTAAATTTCTTTGTGTGCTTCCTTTTAGGAGCATTCCAGCAAACTACCTGTCCACTTTAAATGGGAACATGAGGGAACAGAAGTGTACCTTATTGGCAGTTTCTCAGATTGGAAAGACCAAGTAAAAATGGAGAAAGTGTAAGTTTACTTTCATGTTATTATGAACTTAAGTACTAATGGCATCCTGTCTGGATTTTAAAATGTCCCAAAGCTCATATTTTTTCTTGCATCACTTAATTCTTATCTATCCCAGTTCAGTTTATAAAAAAGATAAAACCTCTAAAATAAAAGTTTTTCTTAAGTTTATGGGATGTTGAGATTTCCACCTGATCCTTGAAGCTAGCAGGGTTTGAGCCTTAACACCTCACAACCTCAGGTGAGAAATAAAATCATCTCATTTAAACATGATACAAAGTGAAAATTCTAAACTTCACAGCAGTTCTCCTGTTATAAAGTGAAAATGAGGCCCTTCTCAATATTGTACAGTGTGTGTATTGTGAAATGTTAGGAAGAGAAAATGTCTAGCCAGACATTTGAAACTAAATTATTTAATTCGAAATGGTATAAAACATTGGATCCAGGTGCTTGGGCAGATGAAGCAATAATTCATGAGTAGGAGAAAATTGCTTTTTTTTCTTGAGGAAAATTTGATTTGGTGCAAATCTTGGATTGCATACCTTTTAGCAAGAGAATTGTAGAAATATCCAAATTTATTTATTCATTTGTGGTGCCTGGTTTTTTGCTTTGTAGACCTGTTTCAAATATAATTTGCCATCATATTACTTTCTGCACTTATGATTAGGAAAAGTAATTGAAAGCAGTAAGAAGGTTTTTGCATGCTAACAGCTATTAACTATCTTAGATGTAGATTAATGGCAGTTGGATATCACTCTATCTTGTCAGACTGGTCAAGGTTGACCATGCTTCTTCTTTTTTAAAAAATGAACTGAAGCACATGGATGATGACTCAGAGCATAAACACAACATTGGAATAGNGAAAAAAACTTACTCTCTACAGCTGTGTGATATGCTATTAAACAGTAAGTGAAATTAAGCAATCATAAGCTTTTTGTAACTTTATTTTCAAGCTATGATATTCAAATCAATAAAAAGAATTTTATGTACAGACACTGTGTGCTGTATATATATATATATACCACCTGAAAAGGCTGTCGTTGTTGCTGTCTCACTGCACTTACAATTTTGTTTTTTTTTTTTACTCCATATTTTCCAAAACAACCCGCCCTTTTATTGAAACTTGGTGTGTAAAATAAAACTATGATTTTACATAAACTTTGACTTAAAGGGAACTTTCTTGTCATCTGACATTGCTCACCTCAGATTTATAAAAGTATAGTAGAGGCAAATTTTTTTAAATCTATTTTTTGACTTGATTTAGAGTCCCATTGGGCCCAAGAACAAATTCAGCTACATTGTCTACTTTGACAACTTGAAATATCCAAGATGGCTACTATTTTCCATAAAAATATGCATCCTTACTGATACATAAAAAAACTTCTTCATCTTCGTCCATTTTGCTGTTTCAGCCCAAAATCTGATCTAGGCTTTTTGTACTCTTGATTCCAAATTCGTAGATCTGTTTTAGCTGAAACTTCATGTACCCCTTAGTAAATAGTAATACCAATTTAGATCTGTGGCTTGTAAAGATCACTTTTGGAATGGACCATTTTTTTTTTTTGCAGGATCAGTTTCTGTACATTTGGCAGCTTTTGTTGCCTTACTGATTTTCAATAGTTACTAAAAGGGAAACTGTGGTGCATATAATCCAAAAGCACCTTGCATATAAACTCTGCCATAGTTCAATGCTCAATTTCCTGCTTTGATTATTTCCTAAGGTGACTATGGGTAACTAGTTCCATCAAATTTTGAGAGATTAGATGTGTATTACAGAATTTTCCTATATGCATGTTATATGAGTTTCTATATTATTCAACAGAACCTTGCACCTGTGCTCATAGAGAAATACCTCAGAGAAGTAATTAGAGAGGGATTTGTTCTTTCAGTATGTATTGTACCACCAGCATAAAGTTGGATTTACCACAACTTCCTGTCTATGCATCCAATTGTTGTTGACATATCTTGTTTGTTCTGAAACTACCTGGTTTGGAACAAACAGTGCATTTTTGTGGGTTTTCAATTTTTATGAAAGTAAACTACATATTAATTGTTAAATTGATGCAAATATAAAAGAGATAAGAACATGAAATTGTTTTAATTGTAAGCTGCTGAATGAAGAAAAAATACTTTTTTCTTTTATCATACACAGCGTATGAAATTCTCCAATTGCCAGAAAAGTTGTTATTTATATTCTGTATTTATATCTGTATTTTTTTATATCACTGAAATGCTTTAATGTGGCTGGTGGTACATAGTCTGAAGGCAGCCTTTGCCTCTCTGAACTTGTAGTTGATTTTATTATGGAAGTACCAAGAATTTGACAATGAAAACTTGCACATTTGTCAAGCTTTTAGCATTATTGTTTATCTGACTTTAGTTGAATTGAGTCCTTACTGCATAATTGACCAGCTATGTTGATTTTAAATCAAATACACGTGTCAACCAAACTTCCACAGATTCTCATTACATTTCATTTGATAGGCTTAACATCACATTTTCATGAAAGAACAACTTTGCGTGTGTGATTTGTTAATGCATCTTCTCTGCTGAAGAATTTGTCTTCATAGACGGAAACAACCTGTGCCTCATCTACCGCTGTCTCAGTGTGACACTAATGGCTGACCTGTCAACCTTGGAGTCATGTTGGAGGAATCCTGGCATGAGGCAGCCACATTTCCTGAACTAACCCTCTGCCTTACACTTATGAGATCTGTTCACATATAATTGCATCTGTGAAATTTAGCAAAATCTTCTTCCTTTAGACTTAAGATCTGTGCATACATAATAGCATTAGTGAATTTAATTAAAACATTCTTTATTAGACTATTTATATATTCTATAATGCAGAAGTAAAAATTACTGATATTTTAAGACACTTGAAATACACTTCTTTTTTGTGTCGCTATTACTTACATAAACATACTGTGGCAGATTCCGTACCCTTTCCCATCCTATCCTGTCCCAATTTTAGCCCAAAATTGCTATATTTCAAAATTTATATGGTGGATCCATCCACCCAAGAAAGAGAAAAGACCATTCTGGAGCTAAAACTTGCAAAGAGAATACACTTCAGAAGTCCAGGCAAATTTTTATGAAACAATATTCTGGGATGCTTATCTTTCTTGGACCCCCTGGGAATGACAAGTAGCCACAGAATTGGATTGGTGTATGCACTGCTGAAAACCTAAGAACCTATATTATGTTTGATACTGGTGTTAACTATATATATATGCAGCTTATGAGTAGGGGGTCAAAAATGGTAGTTCTGAGTCTTTTGGGGGGCCTCCTTTCTGAAATCCATGGATCTGCCACTGTATAACCTGAAAATATTTAAACTCTGCAAGCAAAACCAGTCATATCTGTTAAATAAGTAAGAGACAAATGCGTAAAGAGACTGTTCTACAAATTCCCATTGTCATTTCTCTTATTGATGTTCAGATCAAGTTTTCTGAAGTGTTTGCTTTTTCTAATGCTTATCCAATGAGATGGTGAGGTCAATTTATAAAGCATGTTCTCCATTTTTCAGGATTCAGTTGAAGACGGTGCAAAAGAGGAAAATACCCAAGAAGAACCTCCAACAGAGGAAGAAGTTAGTCTCCATCTCTCTCTCTTTCTCTTTCTCTATCTCAACATTTTACTTAATATTGCATGTAATGTATTCCTTTAAATAAATTTTGTATTCTTTTCAAGATTTTGTGTCCTCTATGATTTGTCCTTTCCCACTCAGCATATTCCAGCATATTCCTTTTGGTGAACAAAAAATGTAAAGAAATGTTTTCATGCTGACATGTTATTTCTTTGCCAGGTGAAGAATAGTCCAGATGAGCCAGAAACCCAGACAGAACAGTCCAAGGAAGAGGTAAAAAGCCTTTAACGTACAGACACTGCTCTAAATGTACATCATCATTCATCCCTATCAATTTAGACAAGTCCATGTCTGTTCTTTTTTTTACCTAATTTTTACCCAATTTTGACTGCCTTGCTCAGTACTTCTTCAGGATAAACAAACTACCTTGACTCCTAGGACAGTTAGTTCATTTTCGTAGCTGTGTGAAATTTATCAAGGACTTTGTGTGTATCAGCCCCTGTAGGAACTAAAGAAAGGGTAAAATTGCATGGTCAATAAAAAGCAACTTTGTCTATTACAAAATGGAAGAACGTTTAGAAAAAATTCATCTGCTAATTCCACATGATGGAATAAAAACATTTTACAAAGAGAACCTTTAAAGCCATGTGGCATTTCCATCATGTTCAGAGATTTTCACCAAAGTTATTTTTACATAGTTTTCCAAGCGGTAGGTTCATAGGAGAGGAAACATGTTGCAAACCTTTAACAGACAACCCTATGGGCAAGTTCTTATTAGTTTGGCAATGCCAAAATACACTCGCAAATTATTCAGAACATAGACAACCAAGGATATAAAAAGTCAACAGAAATATGCTATGTTTCTTGTTTTAAAAGCATTTTAGCCAAGTAGAACATAATTTTTTTGTGATGGGACAGTTAGATTAAATTTCTTTGTGTGCTTCCTTTTAGGAGCATTCCAGCAAACTACCTGTCCACTTTAAATGGGAACACGAGGGAACAGAAGTGTACCTTATTGGCAGTTTCTCAGATTGGAAAGACCAAGTAAAAATGGAGAAAGTGTAAGTTTACTTTCATGTTATTATGAACTTAAGTACTAATGGCATCCTGCCTGGATTTTAAAATGTCCCAAAGCTCATATTTTTTCTTGCATCACTTAATTCTTATCTATCCCAGTTCAGTTTATAAAAAAGATAAAACCTCTAAAATAAAAGTTTTTCTTAAGTGTATGGGATGTTGAGATTTCCACCTGAGCCTTGAAGCTAGCAGGGTTTGAGCCTTAACACCTCACAACCTCAGGTGAGAAATAAAATCATCTCATTTAAACATGATACAAAGTGAAAATTCTAAACTTCACAGCAGTTCTCCTGTTATAAAGTGAAAATGAGGCCCTTCTCAATATTGTACAGTGTGTGTATTGTGAAATGTTAGGAAGAGAAAATGTCTAGCCAGACATTTGAAACTAAATTATTTAATTCGAAATGGTATAAAACATTCGATCCAGGTGCTTGGGCAGATGAAGCAATAATTCATGAGTAGGAGAAAATTGCTTTTTTTTTTCTTGAGGAAAATTTGATTTGGTGCAAATCTTGGATTGCATACCTTTTAGCAAGAGAATTGTGGAAATATCCAAATTTATTTATTCATTTGTGGTGCCTGGTTTTTTGCTTTGTAGACCTGTTTCAAATATAATTTGCCATCATATTACTTTCTGCACTTATGATTAGGAAAAGTAATTGAAAGCAGTAAGAAGGTTTTTGCATGCTAACAGCTATTAACTATCTTAGATGTAGATTAATGGCAGTTGGATATCACTCTATCATGTCAGACTGGTCAAGGTTGACCATGCTTCTTCTTTTTAAAAAATGAACTGAAGCACATGGATAATGACTCAGAGCATAAACACAACATTGGAATAACATTTGGTGTTTCTTAATAATGTGTATAATTCAGTAGTTGCAGTGTTTTTTTTTTCTTTTTGAAAATTCCTCATGTTTTTCACTTTTTTTTCAGAAATTTTAAGTCTACTTCTGATTTTGATGCCTTTTTTTCCAGAGATGGAGTGTTCTGTACTACTTTAGAATTAGCCGAGGGTGAATACCAGTACAAGTTTGTAGTAGATGGAGAAAAGAAAGAGAACCATAGTCAGGTACTGATGAAATGAAAAATGTGGTAATGTTATGCTAGTTAACTGTACAATGAGGAACCTTTTTTTAGGTTTCTTTTGAAAGCAGGTGTAAGGCCAGTCTGTTTTCCATTTTATTTTATGACTTTCAAAAGTTATTTCCAGTTTTTGATGCCTGTTGATGTTCACATCTGACAGTCCTTGTAAGAAATTGTTAGGTTTGCCTTTGTTATTAGGAGAACAGCTTCTTTTGGTTAATTTTTGTGCAAATTAATTGTTATTATTATTATTTATTTATTTTATTTTTTGAAAATCCCAAGTAATTAAGAAGTTCAATTTAAGAATGATCTTGTTGTTCCTGTGTCTTATTCTGTTTCTTTTTCTTTACAGACGACAACTGCTTGTGAAGATGGCCACAACAACCTGATTGTGGTTAAGAAAGAAGAATAAAAAAGAGTACTTAAATTTACTCTACAACATGCCTTCAAGAGTAAACTATATGAACTCGCAGTGATATTAAAACGAAGCCTTGTGGTCACAACGACAAAGTATTTTGAACACAGCATACATTTTATGCAGTATTGACATGAATATAAGGAAATGTGATGGTAAAAAATGTCTGAGTTCAGAATGCCATCTTGCCTTGAGTGGAAATATCTTCAAAATATTGATACCCATTATGTTCTTAAGTAAATGATTGAAAAATAGGCAAATCAAAACACAAGTCCAATCTCTTCTAGTCACTGGTCAAACTACTGCTGGGAACATGAAATAATCTTGGAAGTTGTTAATCGAATCTAATTTTCACCATTGTTTATCCATGAGAGAATGTCAAATATGGACCCTAACTACCAGCTACAGTTTTTGCTGCATACTATGAAAAATCATGAAAAATCCTGTTTTGTGACCTTGCTTGGTCAGTACAGATGCAAAAATGCAGGAATATGCCAGGGAGAAGAACAAATTTACCCCTTAAAAAAAAAAAAAACAATATAACACCAGACTTGGTGAGCAACATTTTAATTTTGAACTGCCCCTGTTCTTTGGTGATAAAATGGTGTTTAAACAGGAAACCAAGATTTTTATTTTTCCTTTTACTCACAAGGAGAAGGTGATAAAGTTTGTCAACATAGCATGAAGATGCTCTGGTGCAAGTTTGGTTCTGAAACTAATCTACAATTGTATATATTTATGGCAGATGAGACATGATATGGTGGGAATCTTATTACATAGATTTGTGATGTATAGAAACCTTATAGTTAAAACATTCATAGTATAAGATACAGTTGCTATTGTCTAGTCGTCATCTCTAGTCTATACGAAGATATGGATGTTCTGTGGTTTTACATTAGCAAGTGAGTGTAAGTGTTAATTTCATATGGAATTGGCTGAGTATTTATCGTAATAACTTTGAATATTACATTATTTAACACAAACATTTTTCCTCTTTTTAATTTTTTTTCAAAGTAAAACTTTTGTACTGAATATAGATATTGCGGTTATTATGGGATGAGAATTGTATTATAGTAGGCGCACTGTAGAGCCTTTGACTATGAAAGCACTAATGTAAAAACATGCACATAGAATCAAAGAGGCTGCAAAATGAAAAAAGTAAGAACAATGTTACACCTAGTGTGTTTTAATGCAATTAAAATTGCATAATACATTAGGTTTCCAAGAACAAATGTCAGTATCAAATCGGTGAATGGGATAGATCATGTAATTTGTATGGGCCAAATAGGTTTAATAGAATGCCGTATCATGGTGCTGAAAGATTGTTCTATGCAATTTAGGGTCTAAGAAAAAAGAGGGCATTATCAGTATGAGAACCTTTTATATTTTGACTCGCAAATTCACAACTTTCTAAAGAGCACTTTAGATTGGTGCTGTAAAGGTGCTCGAATAGATGTAGTCATTTTACTCTTTACAATTTTTTTCGTGTGTGTGAATTAATCTAAGTTGATCCACTTTTCATGATATTGCTCACATATACTACCTTAAAATAAATGTTGAACTAACGATGTGTTTGCTGCATACATGTATGTTCTCTGGTTCAGTATATGTTGCATAATATGGAGAAAAATGCTCAATTTTATGGACAGTAAAGGGTTTGGTAAATGCACATGAAAGATGTTAGTCTTTTGGCAAGACTTGGATTTAGGAGGTGGAAATAACAGACATCGACAAATACTCAACGATTTGATTGATGCATATAGACAAATACTCAAGAATATGATTGATGCATAAAGACAAATACTCAAGAATATGATTGATGTAAAAATCCAGATTTTGTTTGGTTTGTAGATGATACATCTTTTCTAAGAAAGGAGCAATACTGACCTTTGTAAATGCATACTTATTTGAACAGCACTATCTTTCATCTTTAATATCTTGGATTATCTATTCTTACATCATCCTACAGGAAATTTGCAGTTGTAAAATCTTGGTAGTAAAGGCTGGTCTGTGAAAGAAAAGCATGAAGTGTTGTTTTTAACTTTTTTTCAAAGTGTTGCTGTGTGTACATGACAGATGTGACAATGAGGATGTATGACATTGGAGATGGTTGAAATGTACTCCAAAATTCAGTTTATAGTAAGAGCTATATTACCTCTGCTCATACTTGGAATCCAAAATAAAAGATATTTTTGGAGATAGTTTTGCTGTAACCATTATTCTCCAGCTAGTATTACTATGTTCAGTGTAACAACATCTGGCTTTGTTCTATGTACATGTTAAAGCCCCCTTTACACTGGACGGCGTCCTTTCTGCGTCCAGCAGTTCGGCCCCATTTGAGAGTTAAAAAATTATAATACTTTACGGCCGACAACTGGCCGATCATTGAGCATTCATTCTGATACAAAATCGATGCTTGTGCCTCCTTATTAAGACCACAGCGATGCCAAATTTCATGGTCGCAGAAAGGACGCAGAAAGGACGCCGTCCAGTGTAAAGGGGGTATAAGTGAAGTTCAAGTAGTGATGAAGTCCTTGAAAATGTGCAATTGGTTTGACAAGCCAGTTGCAGATATGTTTCTAAATAAATGTAGGTAGAATTTAAATTGGAGTTGTTTTTCTTTTTTTAGTGAGTTCCTTGTCTCACAAGTTGCCCAATGGGGGTCATGCCGATACTCCCCGCACCGATACTCCCCCGCACCGATACTCCCCCTTAGTAAATTTTTGCATTATGCACATCGATACGACCCCACACCGATAGATCCTCGCATCGATAAACCCCCTGTAAAATTGCCGTTATACGCGCACCGTTACTCCCCGGCGTTGTTGTTTCCCCGCACCGTTACTCCCCCGCACCGATACTCCCCCTCATCATTACTCCCCCTATGCAATTTTGCCGAAACTGAGGATCGAGTAACAGAGTCAACCCTCCATTTAATTATACAGGTTTGGGTCAGTCTACTAGTAGGTAAGTGGATCAAAATCTACGACCCGTTTAAGTCCAAATTTTGCGGAGAATCTCATGTACCACGCAAGTCCTTTATGCGAAATTTCGAGTTCACACGTATGTAAGCACGTACGGAGGATATTGCACATTTCCAATAGATTCTACGAATAATCTGCGAACAGCGAGGCCGCAAGAGTAATTTGCTCCCTTTCTAAGGAGTTTGCGATTGGTTTGCAAGTGAGACTTGCCTGGTCCAAGATGCACGCCGCAAGAAATGGAGGAGAAAGAGCCCTTTGCGTGTTGAGTACGGCGCACGCCCTCACATCTAAAACGAACAAAATCGAAAACACGACGGGACTGCGAGTATAAAAGGCGTGCTCACGACGCATGCTCGTGTCTCGACAATTTCGTTGTGCAACAATTTTCAAAATTTTTGAATTTTGCTCAATTCAGATTCTAATCTAATTCAGATTCAAAAGACAAGGGAAAGAAGCTTAAAGAGCAGAAAAGAAGGTTGGAGGAAAAAGACAGAAAACGAAGCGCTTTAGCACTTCTTTTTTATTACTTAATTAATAATTTTACGAATTCATCGTTGCCTGAAAAAAAGACAGCTGCGTTATCTTAGATTAAAACTAACTTTGCCTTAAGTTGATAAA